TGTACACATCTAAAACTGAGATTCAAGGTGAGTACACTGTGTCTTGTAGGGCTGCAACTAAAGATTATTTTCATAATCAATTAATCGAATAATCACTTGGTCTATAAAACGCCTGTCACAATTTCCTTAAAGGACCAGTGTGTAGGATTCAGTGGCATCCAAAAAAAAAACTTGTCGTTCAACTAATCTTTTAATCAACATTTTGTTCCAGCTCCATGTCTTGAATGAAAAAAATGTCATAACAACATCCACTTTAATCTAATTAGTAGTGTTAGATAATATCCTGTTTAAGCTCTTGGGCTGTGGGAGTACTTCAGACAAACTGTGGTGACCAGCACACCTGTTCACATCCCGATACTCACCTGTGACCAGGAAGTCTGTGAAGATCAGGAGGCAGCAGCAGCAAAAAGTGACGGGACTGTGGGAGGCCGCCAACGAGGGCAGGAAGAAGAGACTGCAGGCCAGTTTGCACACACACAACACCGCCGCCCCTTCCAACACTCCATCCATGGCTACAGCAAAACAACATACATACGGGTTAAGGTATTGAAAAACTGGTTTAATTTTTGCCTCGGGGGGGTTGGAGCTCAGGAATGTCAGGCACTCTGCTGACACTAAACCCCCAACAATGTAAGATATTTCTGTAAAATTTTGTAAACTGTTTCACTGTCAGTGAATGTTTCTGCCCCGTTAATGCTGATCAATACTTTCATTGTTTACATTAGCAGTGAACCCTGGACCAGACAGCTGTTTACAGTGGATCAGAAATCAGCAAACTCAGGAATAAGTTAAACTATCTTCTGCTGTCAACATGCAATATATTTAAATTCATCTAAAACAATCATATTTACAAGGAATGAATAAACAAATGATATGAAACTCATCAATAATGTGAACAGTCTTTTACTATGACCTGACTGCAAACATTTCCACCTCCTAACCATGACACTGTACAATCAGACTGAATCAACCTGTTTAAATAAACCCTGTTATCTCTGTCAAATGATAAAAGTAGGAACATTCAAACTACATGTTACAGAAAAATGTGGATCCAGATCAAAAACTGCTGTGAAGTTCATTAGTTCTTACCTGGACTCACAGGAGCTTTAGAGCAGCATGTCAGTATGAGCTTCAAATGTTTCATCCGTTCACTTCACCTCCCTCTTTGCTCCACCCTCAAGGGGATAATGACCCTCTCCCTCCTCCCCCCTCCTGTGCTCCCTGCACCTGGCCTGTGTAGAGGTGAGAGAACATGTGCATCTCAGAGGGTGTGGCCCTGTTTGCACAGGCAAGAAAACCAGTCTAACAACTAACAGTGAGATATGCAAAGTGTCTCTCTGTAGGTGTCAGTAAAATTTTATTTATACAGCAAGCTTTTAAAACAATCTTTTACAAAGTGCTGCCTAAAAACAAACAACATACAAATACAGGAATATACAGAAAAATAAATGACAGCACTGTTACAGGGAATGCAAGTCGGCAGGAATGGGGTTTGATCTGTTCTTTAAAGCTGTTTACAGACTTGGCTGAATTAACAGAGGACAGAGACTGTTCCAGTGGGAAGTAGCTCAAAACAGAAGCACAACTACCCTTGCGGAGGGTACGGGGTATAAATAAGAGACCTTGGTCGGATCATCTGAGTGGGCTAGAGGTGGAACAGGGATGCAAACGTTTGGAAACATGAAGGGGCAAAACCGTGCAGAGCCTTGTTTGTGATAAGCAGTCTCTTGAAATCTATTCTATACTTAATAGGGAGCCAATGAAGGTGTGCGAGGACTGGTGTGATGAACGGTTGGTTTTGGTTAGCATTTTGCACGAGTTGAAGGTCGCGATGCCAGAAGAAAATAGAGTATGGATTAGTAATTTGAGATCTCTGGTTGATAGCATTGATTTGCAGGTTTGCACAAGCTTGTTTACGTGTGTGTCAAAGTTCAGTTTTAAGACCACACTGAGGTTTCTTGATGAGGGTTTAACACTGGTGGCCACAGGGCAGATACAGGGTTTCACTTGACTTGTTAGGACCAATAAGGAGAACCTTGGTTTTCTCTGGATTTGGCTGAAGAAAATTGAGGATACCAATATTATCCATATCATTTGGCTTCAAAATACAGCTGTTTGTCTTCAGTGTAGCAGTGGTGAGAGATATAACTAATCTGACTCACCAGGCTGCCTAAAGGTAACCTGTAAAGTTAAAAAAAAAGGATAGGACCAATGATTGAACCCTGCAGGGATGTACTGTATGATGTTTAATTTCCATTGAGAGGTTACAAACGTTCCTGTGTTACACCCACATTGTTCAAACTACAGTATGTTATTCTAAAAGTGTACAACAAGTACTCACAAGCACGGTGTTTCATAATGCAGGTTTAGACTGTAGATCACTTAACTGTGATGAAGATGATGCAATGTCTGTGTTGGTGATATTCTTTTAAATCTATAATCTAGACAACAACATGCATGCTTTTTAATGCTTCTCTATAATTTATGATTATATATGTTATGTATTTATGATAAATGATGAGTGCTTTAGTTTGCAGTTAACACCTGCTGTACATTGTTTGGACAGGTGGGACCAACAGAAATTATTTGCATTTTACATTATGTAGAAGAAGACTCTCCTGGGAAAACAGCCTCATTACCTCTTGTCTCTGATTACATCAAAATACTTTAAATGTTTTATTTATAACTTAAGTTGTACCTCATGTTCAAACCACACTTGAATAAACACGATACTCCTTACAGATGGAATCAGATGCATAAAAGTTCAAGTTAAAATCATTTTTTCTATTTGAAGACTTTAAAATGTTCACTCTTGGCCTTGGAAGTTCACAAAAGTTTAGTAGCTGTTCTGGAGCTTTTGATCGTATCACATGAACTTGTAAATATTACATTTTCTGAGCCATTTATTGACCTCTCATCCACTAAATGGACCTTATGTTGAGATTGTTTTTTTTACTGCTGTTTACAAGGTCAAGAGTGAACTCTGAAACTCTTTAAACTTTTAAACCAATATTGACAAGAAATCCTAAAAGTGCTCCAAAAATTTCAAATTTGAATAACCTTCATCTCCTGAGGAAGATTGTGTAATATGACCAGCTGGTAAACTGACCTGGTCATAAGATTGTTTTGTATGTTACATACACGACAAACTAGTTCTTTTGTTTTGTGTAATTGTCGTTTCATATTTTAAAATACTTACTAGGTCTTTTCTGAAAACCTGTTGAATTGTCAGTGACAAATGATGTTAGTTGTGTAAAGTGTAATGTACCTTTTTATTATAAGCAGACACAATTGGTCCTTAGCAAGGTTAAAAACTTCTAATAATTACAATTTAACAGTGTGAATGTAAACTGCTTGTATTTACTGTAGTGTTATTGTCTATAGAGAGTTCAGCTCTGCCTCTCTAATTATTGGCAATCGCCTCATTTGAACATGTTTTGTATCCTCAGTGTGACTCATGGCAAAGATATGAGATGAAGTCCGGTCTGAGTTTTGCATTTGCTATGGATATAAGCATAAATTTGAATGTGTGTTTGAGTATTGCGTTGTTTGTTCGGCAGGTGGGAAAGCCTATTCACAGGGAAAGAGTTGTGGTTTTAGTGCAAAAATGTGCTTTATTCATGACAATAACATGGTTTGTTTTTATGCCGACGATCACACTTAAAATGAAATGACTCATAAAAAAACTGTTGTTTTCACTCAGCTTACGCCAACCAAAACTAATGCAATCTGGCTTTTATGGTTTCAGTGTTTGTTAAAACTGTTTTAGAGAGTTGTTGATTCAGTGTTATCATCATTTGGAGGCTATTGTGGTGATAATACATTTGAAAAAGATACAGGATTACTTTAGAATAATGCAGTGTATAAATGTCTGCGGCGAGCACACCTCCCTGCAGGTTGGGCATAAAAGCTACACAATGAGTTGCTGCTAGTAGTTTGTCCTTTCTTAAATGCGATAGCCAAAATATTTTATATAATAGTTTAACAGCATCACAAACTACAGGCTGTAAAAATGAGCATAAAGTAGAACAAACACCTCTCTAAAAACTGTTTCAGCCTCATAAATTGTCAATTGAATATAATCCATTTTTTTTTATAACAAGAAAATGTCCTAAATAATAATTAAACAAATCTGAAATTAATCTGAGGCTTTCACATGTGACCAGTGATGGTTCATTCATTCATATCTCCTCCATATATTTTCAGCCATGAGGCAGCTGAAGCTCTCTGGCTGTGGCAGCAGTGCCATCTCCTGCTGAGCTAAGCACAGAGCATATTAGCAGCCTGTCATGCTGCTGCTGAGAGGATTACACTTCATATTTACTGTACATGACCGTGGTGACCTGGGACAGATATAGTTTTTATACTGAACATGAGAATTAAAGATGACACCTGCGTGCCACAAATGATTCCCCACTGTATATTTAATCCTGGAGCTCAGTGTATTATTATTATTATTATTATAACAGCCTTATTATTGGGTTTATTTGAGACTGTGGGTGTTTGAGGCTAGTGATGACAGACACAAGAGAAAGTCTGCCACACATGCAATAATAAATTAATACCACGACTGTCACTGTACAGGAAAACCACGATAAACATGAAACTTCCCCGCTTAAGATGCTCAGTTTTTATCTGAACGCAGGAGCGCACAGGCGGGCCGCAGCATCCGCACAAGAAAATCACCAGTGTTTCAATTAGAAACCAGAAAATGGGTTAAAAATCAGTTTTCAGCTCAGTGTTTAGACGCTGAACATTTCCTCGCCTGCAGCACCCAGAAGTGAACAGCAGGCGACCCGGAAGGTTTGAAGTCCGACTGAGAGCGAGCAGAAAAGAAGAGTCCCAATCCCTTTTATAAAATATTTCTCCTCTCTCGCTGGTTCAGGTATGTTGGCCGCTCGATGCAAATTATCTGCCTGTTTTTTTTTTTTTTTTTTTTTTCCCTTTCTTCTCTTCTCCCACACGCATCTCTCTCTCTCTCTCTCTCTCTCCCTCTGTGCCGTGTCGCTTCGTCACCGTTTCTATTTAAGTCATGCAAAAGTTGTAATAAAAAAGAAGGAGCATTTTGCAGCGCAGAGGTGATAAAAAGACCGATTTCTTTTCCCGCTGCCGTGCACGTAAAAGCTTTCATTACGCGCCTGTATTAACGTCGACATTTGGATTTATGGCTCAGCAGCTGCAGAGCATTCAGCAAAGGCATGATGATTGTTGTAGGAAGTGTCAGGCGTTTTTTTTTCTCCCCCCTCCTCAAGCCGGGCTATTCAAACCTGCAAATCAAAGTAAACAATCGTTCGTACGCTTAATGCAAATATGCCACATCCCGACGCATCGCACGAAGCGTTTGATTGCATCCGGAGAATCGTCTCCTTATAATATTCGGATCTGCAGAATATGGCGTCCAGTGCTTATAAAAATAAGACAGGGCTGCCATTTTTGTTTTCCTTTTGTCTGAAATTTTTTAATAAACTGTCTGAGAATGTGGGAGAGGCGGCGAACAGACCGAGGGCGCTGCGGAGGATCGTTTCTCTCTCTGGAGGAGGAGATGCTCTTATTTAAAACCTGCTCGGGTTCACATTGAAACATCTTTCAAACGTTTCTGTTTCTTTGGGGTTTTTTTTTTTTTTTTTTTTTTAAACGGAGGAATAATACAGCACAGCAGGTAGAACAAAAAGGGGGGGAAAAGTTAACCCTAACTTTTGCTTCAGGGATGGACTTGGTATTTCTTCCTACAGGTGATCTAACAGTGATGATCTGATCTCTGTTTTATTACACTGATGCTGCTTTTTGAAGCTCAACTGTTGGGATTTAAAAATAGATTTCTAGTTTGTAAAAGACGTGCTATACCTGCACATCATTGTGGTAACACTTGACCCCGACCAATGGCCATCCGTAGGATTATTATAGCAGATCAGAGAGCATAGATATAGATTCTTCTTATTCAATAATAATAACAGCATGTAGCCTATGTCTCTATTACTTAAGTACTGGTTTCCTATCTCCTTTATAAGGGTATATAAGTTGTAACAAATGGCTTAATTAAGGAACTAATGATTTAGTAATGATTTATAGATCTGTAATAAGCTCCTTATGGTTGCCAGGTTGTGTAAACTCTCTCTGACTGGTATTAGTTACACATGTTGGCAATCTATTAAAAGTCCATAAAGTCTCCAGTTATAAATGATAATAAGACATTGATAAAGGGGTTTTCAGTCCATCAAGTCTACAGTTGTTTGTAGTCTGTTTTTAAGAGATTATTCACAACCTGACAACACACAATCTGCTTAAAGGGATCTATAAAACATAAGTGAATGTTTAACAGCCATTAATAGAGCCCTTAGTTAATTATATTACGTTTTGTAAAAAAAAAAAAAGGGGGGCAAAACTTCTGTTTACTGATTCAATAGACACCTTGAATGAAAAAGCGACAGAGTCAATTCACAGAAAATCTATTTTAAAATTAAAATAAATAGTTTTTTTTTCAAGCAAAAATGCAAAACTTTCTGTCCTTCCTGCTTCTCAGATGTGAAAATGTGATGCTTTCCTTTCTAGTAAACTGAAAGTTGTTAGGCTTTAGACTGTTGGTCAGAAATTATAATGGGCAATTTTTCACTATTTCCTGACGTTTTATTGACCAAATGAATATCTATTGCTCAAGAAAGTAATCTGAGTAATCGCCAATGAAAATAACCTTATTTGTCTTTTTCCTACGTGATTCATTACTTACAGGAATAAATATGTAAACCCTGTAGAAGCTCAGCTGCATTTGTGCAAAAATAAATAATAGTAAATTAAAGGAATTTATGGCAAAAATTGGCACAAGTAAACCTAAAGTAAGTCCAAAAGCAATACAGTCTTGACCTGATTCTACAGTACATTCAGACCGACATACATACAGTCTGAATGTACCGCAAATATACAGGAACTGTAAGTCACACACAGGGCCTCGCTGCCATCAGATACATTCTCTGTGAAGCGTGTTATTTTAAAAGGTGACACAGAGATGTCCAGCAGCCGTCAAACTCCTGAGCCTGCTCCCTCGACGCAGAAAGCCTCCAGGAAGTGAAACTGATCCGCACTGGCATCATTAGAGAAATATTTAGTGGGGTTTACTGTACGCTTGTACCCCTGGACGTATCGTTTTTGTTTCTCTTGGCTCGTAGATGTGGACTGTGTTATGCCTCCGCTAAGCCAAACAGACTTAGGAATGGTGAAGTGTGCCAAAGCATGCAATGCAAAATGTTTTAAAAAGGAACTTCATATGAGGTTGAGAGGAGAAGCTATGGAAAGAAAGGCCTTCAGATCATAACTCCAACAGAACGCAGCTCTCCCTGTTGAGAAGGTTTCGGTCCGTCTGATCAAACACATCGGCTTGATCAACTATTGTGATTAATTGCAGCCCATAAAAATCAAACATTGTCATTTAAAAGAGAATATATCACACTCTTATTTTGCAACAACAACAACAACAACAACAACAACTGCATTGTCACTTACGAATCAGTGTGCAGCATCCTCATTTTAGTCACTCCATGTTCATCATACTTACCACTCAGCTTTTGACACTAGTTCATTCGTCATACGTCCTGTACCCTGAGGTGAGAGTGTGCAACGTTTCTCCTGTTTCCCACCACACTCTTAAACAGTCGGGGCCCCACGTGTCGAGGAAAACAGATAAGGATCTGAGCCACATCACTTGTAACATTTCTGTTTTGTCTGATAACTGTTTTGGGAGAGTTTCCAAACTAGCTGTTGTAATCATGTGAGAGCCTATCTCTCAGGCAGCATGCCCATCATGAAGTCTTGTGGTTGAAGATCCTAAGAAAGAAAACTGCATCACTGAAAGCGTTTCTTGCTGACTTCACTCACCGCAGCAACTTAGAAACTTCCTCCCTGCTGTCATTGATGAAGCGCCGGCTTGGAGAAAATGTTAAGACGCAAGATCTCCTCTTGCACTTTTGGGGAAGGAGAACTAATACAGAATGTCTTTGAAAATACACTATCACAAGACTGGGACAAGTTATCTCAAATTATCACATAAAACAGTCAGCTGCTGCTTGGGTGGGGAGCTACTGACACAAGTTTTTAACCACTGTTTTCTACACTAACAATAGATCTTCACATAAATTTACAGCAGTCCAGCAGTCGTTCCCAATCTGGGATAAACAAAGTAAACCTGAGAGGCTGCACCTCAACACTTTTCTGATGCACAAAGTTATACGTATTGTTTCAGATTATCCTCTAATCTTTGCCCTTTTTTGTGGGAAATTGTGACTCTGAACATGAAAGATTAAAACAAGACAAAATCACTCACCCTTGAACCAGGTTGAGAACCCGTTTCTACGAGTTCAACTGCAACTATGTACTCAGTATGTGTGCTGATCAGTATTTCACTGATGGGCAGATGGAGAAGCTGTCCTCATCTTGTTTATGGCTCTTGTGTATTTATTTCAGGATGGCTGAACCTCGCTTTAACAATCCCTATTTCTGGCCTCCACCTCCTGCTATGCCCGGTCAGGTGAGTGACTCTGGTATTCACACATTTGTATGCAAACTCAAATCTGAGTAAAGTCACTGTATTAATTCTGTGTAAAGGTTTATTGTTTTATTTTATTTTATTTTATTTTATTGATGATGATTTTGAACAAGGCACTAGTAAATGAAACAGTCTTACATTTTGGGGAATGCTTTTATTCACTTTCTTGCCGAGAGTTTTAGAAGATTGATGTCACTCTCTCGCCTGTACAGTAAATGTGAAGCTACAACCAGCGGAAAAAAGTAACAAAATCCTGCAACTCCAAAGCTCACAAATGAACATTTTATATTTGGTTCATTCATACATACCTAAACTGAAGAGTAAAAATTACAATTGGCCTTCTTACTTTAGATATTTATTATCGTTAATTAACTCATTGTATTTTTTACACTCACTTTTTTTTGTGTGGATCAAATAAACAAGATATATCATGTTAATTAATGAGCTTTTGAGGTGTTGGTAGGTGGATTTTTACCTTTGGACAGAGCTAGGCTAGCTGTTTCCCCCTATTTCAAGTCTTTGTGCTTAGCTAAATGAATCAAGCTACATAGTTCAATCAATCTTCTCATTTAAATCACAGCAGAACGTGCAAAAATATCAAACTTTTCCTTTAAAACAGTGGTTCTTAACCTGTGATCCCAGGATAAAGCTGAGTGGTCACCATATGATTATAGGGAGACCTTAAACAGTTGAACATTTTTATTTTCCCTCATTTTAGCCTTTACTTGTGAAATACTGGACACAGTTTTCTTTCAAATGAAAGAAATTGGAGAAAGAAAGAGCTCACAGCTCATGGCCACACTATGACATTGCTTCATTTTAAAGGGAAACAGAGATGTTTGCAGAAAGGGAGTCTAGGGTACAATGTCACCTATCAGCCATTAGAGGGAACCATCGCCTCATAAAGTGACACTGACTGAACTGATGGCTGTTCTCTTGTCACAAATGTTGCTTCCTGGCTGTCAGCTGGATAACCTAGTCTTGATCAATAAAATCAAGGAGCAGCTGATGGCAGAGAAGATCAGACCGCCACATCTGCCCGCTGCCTCAGCCCCTTCCCAGCAGCCCTTACTGGCTCCTTCCAACCAAGTAGACGGCGGCCAGCACGGGATGTCTAAAGCCCAGCAGATGCAGGTTCTCCACAGCCACAGCCCGTCTCAGCCCGATATCGCCCTGCACGCCCGCCCCGCCTCCAGCTCAGTCACAGGTACTCCGCCCTTCACCTCCCCAGTCCTCACTTTTGACAGATATAATAATACATTATCATTGATGGTTCAGCCTTCTCTCATTAAATTTTGGTACTTTCTTTTTGTTTTGTTGCATTGACTCTAATGTTCTGTTTGAGGGCTGCACGATATAGTAAAAAATAAATCACATTGCAGTTATTTTTGACAGATATTACAATTAATTCATGATTAATGGTTGATTAACATTTTCACTGAAATAAAAAAAAACAAACACTTAAAATCATGATGATGTGACTTTTTGGGGGATAACAAACTTCTTGCAGCACTATAGTACTCTATAGTATATTATATTTTACTTTTATCAAAAATGTCAGCTTTTGCAATTGTGATGTTGCATTTGGCCTTATTGAAATTTTGATATATGGATTAATTGTGCAGCCCTAGTTCTGAAGACTCTGGACCCTCTTTAACAGCTCAAAAAAACATATTTATCATTGTTTTGTAACTTTGATTCTGAACATGTTACAGAAAATTCACAGTGAGCTTTTGGGCGCTCTGATGGCCCAAGGGCTAGGGCACTGAATGTAACGCCCTTGTTTGCGACTGGCAGATGAGCTTTGTTGCATAACAATTTCCATCTTTCTCCACGTCAGTTCCTGTCATCTTACTATCAGCCATCTGTCCTCCAAAAAAGAATTTCAAAGAAGACACAAACAATGCATTACAATGCTTTAGATGTGCAATTAGTGTTGACAGTGCTTTGAACACTGTACTACCCCACCCAAATATTTACTTGATGATGTAATAACAATTATTTGTGCTGATTTAATGTGAATGTGAAAGCATAGTTTGTGGCAAAGGGTTACCTCTTCAATAATTTTCTACAATCTGGGTTTAAATCAGGTCGGAAGAAAAAGAAAAGATAGATTTTGCAATTATTATGTTTAGTTTTACACATCCAAAGCAAGTCTGTGAGACCTCAAACAACAAGAAAGTAAAGCCACTGTCAATAAGGGTTAAGACTTGAGACTGTATGTTGCTATTGTATGTTAAACTAAATTTAAATATATTTTGTTGGGTGTCTTTATACCAACTGTAAAATGTTGATATTAAGACACTCAAGTTGATCAGGATGAAAGACGTATGTATTCTGTAAATGTGAATTTCCTGAACACTTTACCAGGTCGCATTCTTGGGGATGTAAATTTGAATCTGGACGATAAGGCAGCTATAAAAGCCAGAGGATTATGGGAAGACTGGCATCTTCGTCAACTTATCGACCATCCTTCCAGAACGAACCACGTCTCAGGTAACCACAGTTTGTACACACAGCTTTCAACTTGTTTTCCCCCTGTTGCAGAAACAAAGATTCCTACTCAGGTCTGCAAGTGTGTGGCTGTCGTTCATCATTAACTGCCTTACTGAAATTTCTCCTACGGGGGATAAATAAAGGAACATCTTATCTTATCTTATCTTATCTTATCTTATCTTATCTTACTAGTATTAAATGACTTGTTTGTGCTATAGAGGTGTTTGGGAGGCAGAATAATGAATGAATAACTTGGGAACACTTACTGGAAAATTACTTTGCATTATTCATTATAGCGTGGTGGTCTTTCTGCTGGGCCTTAGGCCTGTCGCACCTCCAACGGTGCCTGTGGTGGACTGAGCATGGCAGGGGTCGTCCTCTTCCCCTGAGGCAGGCCTAAACCTGACCGCATACTGCACGGTTTTGCTGCAGGGTCTTCAGCTGGGGACCACCGGTCATTGACGTTTCGCCCCTTAACCCAGAACATCTCCTGGTGGTTGGGCAGTGAACAGGGACGTCTCCCTGACACCCCCTGCAGCAAAACCTAATTGGATGTTACTCCCAAAGCCTTGTCTCGTCGTTTCAGCCAGTGCCAGTGGCTTGCTTTCTCAGCTTCCTCAGAGAGCTCTTTGGTGGATCTGCTCAGTGTGGCTCCACGTAGTCCCAGGTCCTTGAGCAGGCATGATGTTGATCTGCCCACAAAGCCTCTGGCTCCCACCTCCACCGGGTACAGCCTCACACTCCATCCACTTTCTCTGCACTCCTCGACCAGGTCTGCATACTTCGCCTTCTTTCTCTCATAGGCAGCTTACAGTCCCTCCTCCCATGGCACTGTCAGCTCAATCAGTATTGCTGACTTCACTGCTGTAGACCACAGCACCACAAAACACAGCTACAGAGGAAAGTCATATTTCAACTGCCTGCCTGCCAACTAATCAGAGTTTGCCAACGTCCTATCATGTGTCCATTATGTCCCTCTTGGTTTGTCTGTGTTCGCCATACTGTGTTATCATGAGTTTTGAGACTGACACTGATTTTCCAGTGTTTGAAGTTGGCACTTTGAGAAAAAGGATTTGGCGACTGTCTTTTAGTTTGGTTGTGTTGCTTTAAAAACTCTCATATCAAAGCACTGTTTGCTAGATAGTTTTTATAGAAGTCAAATGCTGATAACTTGCATTCATCCTTATAAAACCCACCTTTTTAGAAGCGTTGTGTAAGTAAGTATGATTATGTTACTTTACAGCTGAAGTCCTTCACCTTATTTATTTATTTAGTCTATTCCCTGTATATACAGTATACATCTTTGATTTGTTCACAGCGATTCAGAAAGAATTAATCAATGAGGTTAAATGAATTACACATATGTTTACATGTCAGTGTTTAGAAATGAAAGTATATAAGAGGTCAACCCGAGCTGCAAGATCTGAAAGTCAGCTACAAAACACATTCACACGCTGACTTCCAATTGGAAAATTCTTCTTCATTTTTATACTGAAATTCAAAATATAATTTTTTATTTTGTGTTTTCCCACTGTATCTTAATGGGATTTTTTTCTTTCTTTTAAAAAAATATAACCCCTCAATAATAACTTACTGCTATCTTCTTGTCTTCCCTTTTGCACCTATCAGGTGTGGCGCTGGCATCCAGAACAGGTAACCTCAACACCTCAGAGATCATCACTCCCACCACACCCACCTCCAGCAGCCACAGCCGGCTGGGAGGAGCCCCCACACCTCACCTCATCTCAGGGTTAGCCTGCAGCCACGGGATGGAGCCTGGGAAAAACAACGGGGGCCTCGTGGGGCTCCTTGGCCCTCCTCCGAAGGAGGAACGAGGGCGTAAGAAGATCAAAGCAGAGAACGGGTCTTCTCTTTTGGTGGTGCCCTACCCAATCCTAGCCTCAGGCAATGACCAGTCCTGTGTCACCATCACTGCCAAAGAGGGGAAAACCTACAGGTAAGAAAAGACATTTTGTTATGCAGCTGTTCTCAGTTGGTAGTTTCAAATTTCTTCTTAAATATTACTGGTGCTCACAGTGTTTTGTTTTTAAGATAATTAGGAGTCCAGTAGATAAAGTAGGCTACAGATCTCACTCTGAACTGTTAAGAAAGGAGGAAATATTGCTTAGCAAGAACAACGGTTAAAACAGAATAAAATAGAGTATAACCTTACGTTCCACCAGATTGTGGAATTATCTTTGGCTGACCAAAATACAAAAGCAGCCCAGAAACATCTAATGCACACACGACAAGTAGGGTAACAGAACTTAATATGTTCATTAAAAATCTAAATAACGTTCTTAAAGGACCAATGTGTAGGATTTAGTGGCAGCTGGAGGTGTAGTTGCATACTGCAACCAGCTGAAACCGCTCACCTCAACAAAGCATGCAGGAGAAACTACGGTGGCTGCGAAATTGAAAGACGTGAAAGGCCCTATCTAGATTGTGCTATCAGTGTTTGCTTTCTTGCCGACTAAAGAAACATGGCTGTGCTCTCTCAATGTAGATTTTCTGGTGATTATACACAAATGAAAACATACCTATGGATGGTATATTCCATTTCTGCCAATTGATCTTCCTACATGTTACACACTGGACCTAGGAGTCTCAAAAATAGAAATATCTGTCAGGATGTTCATGGCTTTATCTCTTATCCTCACAGTTTTCACGTTCCTCTGCTTCCTCTTTATAAAGTCATGACAAGATATTTACAAAACAATGAAAAAAGTACGTCTTTACTTGGTTGAGTAGAAATGCAAGAAAGCTATGCAAAAATACTCCAAGCAGTAAAGAAAATAAGTTTGTAGTTCACTATTCAATATATTGCAGTATTATGCCGAGTTAATCTGATGAACTGATTATGTGCTTTGTATATAATATGTTTATCTGCAGAATAACAAGTAAAAATGTAATGGAGTAAAACGTTTAAAGTACTGATCACCACTGACAGACACAATGCATAACATAAAAGGTCCATATAAATACTGCTGGCAGCCTTAACTAACCAACCTTTTTTTTTTAAATGGTGACTTAGTTTAAAGTTAAAGTTCTTCTTCATGAATTGAGACGTCCTGTGCATCCACATTCACTCACTGTGCATCTTCTGTATGTGTTCTTGTTACAGGTGTAAAGTTTGTCCACTGACCTTCTTCTCCAAGTCAGACATGCAGATTCACTCCAAAACGCACACAGAGGCAAAGGCTCACAAGTGTCCTCATTGCACTAAGTCCTTTGCAAACGCATCATACCTGGCCCAGCACCTGCGCATACACCTGGGCGTCAAACCGTACCGCTGCTCCTACTGTGAGAAATGTTTTCGCCAGCTCTCCCATCTGCAGCAGCACACCAGGTCTGACCTCTACACTTGTCACAGTGTGTTCATGACATATATATAAATATACATACATACATATATACTAGATTACAGTTTGCCCACATGTACATTAGTACCCTCAAATTACTTAATTATTTAAAGAAAAACAACCTTTTCTCCCCTTTTCACTTCCCTCTTGTAGTGTCTGCTGTGTCCATAGAGACAATTTGGTTTTACGTTTTATTTAGATGAACTTAAACAAATGTATTTAATGAGCACATTTCTGACATTAACAATTTAAGGTATTTGTGCATTCGTAATAAATGCAAACAGGTCAAAACCACTGAAATTGTTTGGAAAAGTGTAATTTACATACAATATTCAATACCTTGTAAGGTTTTTGTTTAAATGGACACTAGAGTCACATTAATTTGTAGTGAGGTGTTATTTGTAGTAATTCTAACATACCGTTAAGATAAAAAAAATCTAGCTAGAGTTGTCTCCATGCCGGTCGGGGGGTTGCAGTCATGGGTGTACAGCGTAAACGCGAGGGGGCTGATTGTGCACCCAGATTGTGTTGAATGCTGAGCTTCTAGTTCCAGTTTGCTAATGTTTGTGTCATGTTTCCTGTTTCAGAATCCACACAGGCGATCGGCCGTATAAATGTGCCCATCCAGGGTGCGAAAAAGCTTTCACTCAGCTGTCTAATCTGCAGGTAAACATTAACCCCCCCTCCAGTTTGGATGAATTTGTGACAAGACTGTGAGGCAATACTCTCTGAAATGCTGCATTAAGGTGACTGAGTTTGCGTTTGTTTTGTTTTCCCTGCTGAAGTCCCACCAGAGGCAGCACAACAAAGACAAGCCTTTCAAATGTTCCAACTGTTACCGTGCCTATTCAGACTCTGCCTCGCTGCAGATCCACCTGTCTGCACATGCCATCAAAAACGCCAAGGCCTACTGCTGCAGCATGTGCGGCCGAGCGTACACGTCGGTGAGTTTGACAGCCAGGTTACGTTTTTTAAGATCTGGACTAACTGCAGAGGGGATGTCTAAAAGTGTTGTCTCGTTTTTTGTTTTTTTTTTCTTCCAGGAGACGTACCTTATGAAGCACATGTCCAAACACACAATGGTAGAACATGTGGTGTCCCATCACTCCCCTCACCACAGGACAGACTCTCCTTCCATCCCTATACGGATCGCCCTCATCTGAGCGCTAAACCCATTTCCTGCCCTTCCATCAGAGACATTTCCTGTGATATCTGCGCTCCTCTGATGGACTTTGAACCCACTAATGGGTTCCAAAAATGTGCCAGATTGTACAAGTATCTTGTGAAGAGGTGCTCTTTTATTGAGTATATCCTCCTTTTCTTTCATGCTGACCAGATAGTATTATTGGGGACATCCAAAGATGACTTCTCAGCACTTTCAGGCCTGGAAATGACAGGCCTTAAAATTTCTTTTTCTATGTGACTTCACAGAAAAAAAAATGCTCCGGGCAGCTACATTAAAAATCTTTTTAACTTTTTGTGTTACAACAAATTACATTGTCTTTTTTATATGGTCCTTATTTTACTTTCTTTACTCAAGTCTTTGCAAACAAAAATATATTTGCATCAGAAATAGTCTTCCGTTAGCTGGGTTGCCAAGTGAACATAAAGGTGAATGCTTATATAAAGTGTATTCATGTATAACGTGCCACTTTTTATGTCAGTGTTTGCAATGTTTCATCAATCACGTGGCCATAATGCACACGTAAATTATGTGTCAACATTTTTGTTCGAGTCATTTTCACTCTACTGCCAACATCGCCCTGAACGGGATGCGTGACTCACAATTAGATGGACATATTTTCTTTTACATATATTTTGTAATGTTATGATATATGCTCAAGGCAGTCCTCAAGCTTAATCTGGACAAGTTTAAAAAACCTGTTTCAAAATAATCATCCCACAAACCTGAAAAACTGAACTGAAACTTTAACTGAGTCATTGAAAGAGAGAGCTTCTGCTTTCAAATACTGAGTGAATGTGTGTTTTTGTAGAATCAAAACCCCATGAAAATCCAATAATTTATAGCATTTATTTTGCCAAATTCACCACAATATTTATGATTATTGTTAATATTAGATTGAATGATGCACTCAGTGCTTTTTTTCCCCCACTTTGTATTTGACTGGGTGTGCAAATAATAAATATTAGACTGAAATGCACCACCTCTCTGCTGCTGCCACACAGACAGATGTGTTACTGCCCTGGAATTAATGGTTCTGGGTTTTCAGATATAACTGAAGTATCACACTTCTTTGAATACTCCTTTTGCCATTGTTTTATGAATGAACCCCTTCCATTTTATATGCATTTAAGCCTTAACTTTGTTACAACTCTAGGGTCCACGCTCGTTTTATCACTTTACATTTGCCTTTTATGTCATAGCATGATAAATACTGTAAATGAACTATATTAACTGTCAACCTGTTTTATAATAAATAATTCTATAATGGTAGATTTTTTTTTTTCCTGGCGGCACATAAACAAAATCAAAGCTTGCAAGGAAATTAAAATTCCTAGTGAATGCTTTCACATACGTGATAACTTTGATGTTTTGTTACTGAGTGGAAACTCAAAAAAAGAAATGAAAGCATACTATTTATCCTATGAAAGGATACTATTTTAGCAACCTTCATAATGCTGATGAATAAAATGTCACACAGTTCCTTGTCAGATGCCTTTCTATGGTGCAAGGTGTTTGGTTTCTCTTTTCTCTACACGAAAGTGTACGGTTACCCAGGAAGATGTGTATAGAGACATGCTGGTCTTACTGCCGACCATTGATGCAGACAAGGAAATGTTCCTTTTATTCAGTGACAAACCAGACGATTAGGCACCAGTGCAGAAACAAAGTGTCCGTGCCAAGCTAAACAGCAGTCACCACAGACAAACAAACTGCAGTTTATGTAACAACACGTGTAACAAGAGAGACAGTGAAATGAATGATAATGTCGTTCCGTCACTGCTGGATGAGTAAATAAGCAACAATGAAAGATAATATTTCACTAATATCCCCATTAACATTCAGCTGTGCATACTCGGCTGTGTTTGCTCTAACATGTTGTTTATCCCATCAAAATATGTAAAAGACGACTGGAGCCGTTGGAGCCATTTTGTTTCTTTTGTGTCAAAATAGGATTAAAAAAGGGCGGACTAGTTCAACCAGAGCCTCTCTCTTCAGCCCCCTTTCTCTACTCCCACTTTACTGTTTACTATGAATGTTCCCCCCTCCACCCTACAAGGATGGAGGTATGACATGTTGACACAACAACCTGGACGGACCTCAACAAAACAAGTCCAGACAATGATGACAGACTTCAGAGGTAAATTGCGGACCCTGCCCTCTGCATTCCTCCTCACATAGGTAGGGTGGAAAACTTTAAATTCCTGGGAGTCTACATCACAGCAGACCTCACACAGTCTGTAAACATGAACAAGGTCCAGCAAAGACTAAATTACTTAAAGGTTCCTGGTGAACTTTTACCTTTATCAGAGCCTCCTCAGCTACTGATGCAGAGTGTTGTAATGTTTATTGTCTACTGCTGAAGAGCTGTTATTATGTTGTGCACTATAGCACTGTGACAATACAGATCTATTCAAATTTTCTTTTGGAATATACTAATGTACATTGATGTTATCATTGAGACTTTGGACTATAAACAAGGAGCTATGCTGTACTTTTAAGTGTCTGAATTTACACACAACAAAAATTATTTCTTATTCTTAGTTCAGGACTATTGGTGTCAGAAGTAAAGAACTCTCCATCTGGAGAAGATGGGTATTTAACCTCCTCTTCTTGGTGTTCCAAACATTTCCAATCAGGGGAGAACCAGAGGTGGAAAGTAATGAATGGATGGAAAGTACAAATACTTTGTTACTACGTTTTGTGTTTTCTTTTTCTAACAGCTTTTTACTTTTACGCCTTACATTTATGCGTAAACATCTGTTTTTTGGTTTTTAGTACCGCACTTGAGGGGGATTATCTGTTTATTTAATTATGTATTGCATTATTGCACACCTTCAGGCTGCTGCATATCATGCATGATGGACGTAATGGCAAAAACGATGGAAAGACATAAAAACATAATGATGCAACAAAACAAACAAACAAGAGAGGGAGACTCAACCCTATTTGAAGTTTCAGTTAGGCCAAGTTCACAAGTTTTTCCCATGTGATTCAGATGTGTTTTTCATTTTTGTGTTTTTCAGTGTGAACAACACAAATTACATGAAATCCATTCTTTTCAGTTCTGACTTTGGCCACTTTCATTTGTGGTCCAAATTAGATACAGGTCGGATTTTTTGGCAATGTGACCTCAGTGTGAACAGTCGTATCACCTCGTATAGGTCACTTCAGGACTATGACGTGTTCACACTGGAATAGGATATGGATGATATGGTCCACTTTCCTAAAGTAATGTGAACAGCCAAACGAGATTTTTTAATACTGCATTAACTAGAATGACACTGGAAGATGTAATGAGCTATGAGCTCTGCTCATTTCCTGCAGCCCTGTTCGAAAGCAAGGAAATCGTCAGTAAAGCCAACAAGCCCCAACTAGCACAGGCAGTCACTGAGTTCTCAAGCAAGAAATCTAACAAAACTGTCCTGGATTCCATCCCACCAACTGAGCATTATGTCCTTGATGGTGGCTCTCTTGTTCACCACTTGGCATGGAAAAAGGGTGACAGTTACAGTGCCATTGCACAGCCATATGCAGACTTTACCATACGCCATTATGGTAAAGCAACAGTCATTTTTGATGGTTATAGCGAAGGTCCTTCCATCAAAGACAATACGGATCAGAGACGTGGTGAAGACACTCACCCCATCGTTAACTTCAATGCAGAGACTGCAGAGTTTGTGGGAAGAAAGGATGATTTTCTTTCCAGATCTTGCAACATACAAGGACTTACCAATCTTATGACCGAGGAGCTGGAGAAGAAGGGCTGATCTGTTGTGTAGGACTAGATGTTGATATCTCTTATTGCATTCCTGAGACACTACCATAACTCTGTGGGATGGTCAAGTGAGTGATGGCATCCTCTGGGTTATCAAGTGGGTGCCCTCCTTCCTAGATGTTTTGCTGATAGGCCCACGACACCTCCAGAGGGTTCAGCAGTGAATCTCAGCGTCCCAGGTTCACCCCCTAGATCCCATCTACTCACTTGAGGGCCCAGGTGGAGCCTTTCCTCTTTATCCACAGCCACTGACCCCTTTTCAGCAGGTCTGGACAGGTCCTTGACTGCCTGCCGACGGGCCTTCCCTCGCACTCCCATCTTCCGCAGTAGTCTGGCTGTTGAGGTGGCTACAAACCCTCTGCAGCCTACCTTCACTTGTCGGACCCTCACTGTCCATCATCGTTGTTGTGCATCAGCTGCAAGCTCCGTGTATCTCAGCTCCTTGTGCTTGTAGGCCTCCTCTACTGCGCTCCCCCCGGGGACCGTGAGCTCAATGATATACACATGCTCGAGCGGAGCTGACCACAAGGTCTGGTCGCAGGTTGGTGGCAATTTCAGTTGGGAAGCACAGCTTTTTGTTTAAGTCTACCAGCAACTTCCTATCACGTGCCCCGCTCAACTGCCCAGCATCTGGTCTTGAGGTGGTGAGACTGGCTTGACCCTCACCCTCCTGGACAAATGTTGTTGCCTGCCAGCGGGATGATGGGGGTTGAAGGGCGTTCACACTCATCCGTCGCGTTTCCAGCACTGCTGCAAGACACTTTAGCACCTGGTTGTGTCGCCAGTTGTAACGGTCTTGGGTGAGGCTGGTCTTGCAGCCCACTAAGATGTGCTTCAGTGTTGCTGGAGTTGGGCAGAATGAGCATGTGGGGTCTTCGCCATACCACTGGCTGAGGTTCTTGGGAGATGGCAGGACATCGTAGGCAGCCTTGTTGGTGAAGCTTGCTCTGAATGCTTTCATTTCCCATAGCTCTTGCCAGGAGATCTTCCTCTTCTCCACTCCTTCCCATGTCATCCACTGCCCTTGCTTCGCCTGCGAGACAGCCTTTGCGCACCTGTCAGCCTTCTCTTGCCAATGTAATTCTTGCACCACGAGCTTGCGTCTTTGGGACGGAATGGCCTTTTTCCAGCCAGGTGTGCTGGTCCCAAGGCCCAGACCACTCCTCCCCTGCTGCACTTGGCCCACAATGTCCCTATGCCTGAGTGCTGCTTTTGCCTGCTCTGTTGCAGCCGATGGGGTCCACTTCCTCCCAGTAGCGAGGATGGGGGCGGCTTGGGCTATAAATGGATCAGTCTTACTTTGGCGCATTTGTACTCCTCAGATAAGCTGGAAATGGGCAGATCTAAAATTCCTTTGCCGTAGAGCCCAATACTGCTGAGGCACCTGGGAAGACCAAGCCACTTCCTTGCATAGGAGCTAACCAGTCTCTCCAGCTTTTCCACCTTTGAGTTTGGAACTTCGTACAGGGTGAGTGGCCACATGAGGCGTGGAAGTAGACCAAATTGCATGCACCAGAACTTCAGCTTGCCAGGAAGCAGGGTTCTGTCAATGTTCTCCAGGCCACTGGTTACATCCTTACTGAGCTGATCTACTTGCTCCTTGTCTTTGAGGGAGGCATCATACCATCAACCTAGGCTGTTCACAGGCTTCCCTGAGACTGTTGGAATAGCCTCATCGCCAATGTGAAAGTGTTGGTCTGACAGTTTACCCTTGATGATGGAGATGCTTCTGGACTTGCTCGGCTTGATCTTCATGCAAGCCAGCTCGATGTTTTCTTGCAGCTTTCTCAATCTCAATCAATGCATCAGGTGATACCGACGTGGACATTGTCAAAGCTGCAGTCAAGGCCTCAGAACATCAGCCCAGAACATTGATAGGGGAGGATACAGACTTATTCATGGATTGATTGCACCTCTGCAGCACTACAGAACTGTTTCGTGACGTGCTACGGTAAGCATACTGAGTCATTTCCGGTTTACTTCCTGCTCTGTGTACACTTTAGTGCTGTAGCTCTGTCAGTGAATGCTAAATCTAAATTTGTTTTACTCATTACAGCGGTTATTTTCCTGTTTAACATTTAAACGTAGACTATTTCTACCTAAGCACTCGGAGTTACTCCTTCTTTTAGCGACATTTCGCCATTTTCAAAGTTTTTCATACACGCTAGCTTCAGTAACATTAGCAGTTAGCTATGGCCTCTCCCTCTCCCTCTCCTCTGTCCTGCTCAGTGTGTCAGATGTTTAGTTATTCCTCTGCCTCCTTTAATGATAATGGTTCTTGTATTAAGTGTAGTTTATTTACTGCGCTGGAGGCGAGGCTTAGTGAGTTAGAGGAACGGTACCGCACCACAGAGATATCTTTAGCCGCTATAGTTAGCCAGCCCCCAGTAGCCGGTGCGGTCCGACCGAAGGTAGCTTCTGTTAGCCGTCCCCCGGTAGTTCCCCCGGTAGTTCCCCCGGTAGATCCCGAGCAGCCGGGAAGACAGGGAGGCTGTGTGACTGAAGACTAAAACACCTAAGCCCTCAGTTCGCCACCAACCCATTCATGTTTCTAATAAATTGTCCCCACTCAGCGATACACCCGCTGAGGAACCAACTCTGGTTATTGGCAGCTCCATAGTCAGAAACGTGAAGTTAGCGAAGCCAGCGACCATAGTTAAATGTATCCCTGGGGCCAGAGCGGGCGACATTGAATCCTATTTAAAACTGCTGGCTAAAGATAAACGTAAATATATTAAGATTGTTATCCACGTCGGCGGTAATGACACCCGTTTACGCCAATCGGAGGTCACTAAAATTGATGTGGAGTCGGTGTGTAACTATGCCAAAACTATGTCGGACTCCGTAGTTTTCTCTGGACCCCTGCCCAATGTGACCTGATGATGACATGTATAGCCGCATGTCGTCATTCCACCGCTGGCTGTCGAGGTGGTGTCCAGAAAACGATGTGGGCTTCATTGATAACTGGAAGCCTTTTTGGGGAAAACCTGGTCTGATTAGGAGAGACGGCATCCATCCCACTTTGGATGGAGCGGCTCTCTTATCTAGCAACATGGTGAAGTTTATTTCTAATACCTGATAGTCCAGAGTTGAGACCAGGAAGCAGAGCTGCTGTCTTTTGTTATCTTTGTCGTTTTAATGTAATTCTAATCTGTGCAAATAAATAAATAAAACATGTAGACTGGCTACAGACTGGGGCTTGTCCCCATACGACCCTGGTCACACTTTGAGACCTCTGGCAGAGGCATTTTATCTGTGTCAGACTCGGCTGAAGACTAAGGGGGACAGAGGGAATTCGGCAGTCTGAGTTTGTGATTTTCTTTTTTTAAAAATCTAAGCTTAAAGGTTCAGTATGTAACATTAAGGAGGATGCATTGGCAGAAATTAAATATAATACTCATGTTTTCATTAGTGTAGCATTACAAGACAGTAAGAAACGCTGTGTTTTCGTGTCGTAGAATGACCTGTTTATATCAACAGAGGTCGTCTTCTACAGAGTCCGCAATGTAGAACCACCATGTTTCTACTAGTAGTCAACGGATATGGGTTTTTCAATGGATGATGTTGATGTTCAGAGAGCAGGGCTGACGATTGCTGATATATATTGCTGATATCAATACAAAGAAAATGTATGATTATTTTCTGTTCTACAAAAATTCAGGTATATGTTTCCAGCAGGATGCTGTAAATGAGAGAGGGCTAGAAACATCACTGACACGGCTACCTGGAGATATGTCTAAAGAAATGTTTTGTCTGTCGGCCTAAAAGAGAAATTTGAAGGCATCTGACAGTTGGCAAAGCAGAAGCAGTGCACGTGAAGTTACAAAATGGGAAGGCACAATAAATGTGTCACGTGATTCCAGTCCTTCCAGTCAACTGAATGTTAATGCAGTCCTTCATAGTCAAATACTGGTTAAATAACTCAACCATTTTTAAATGTACAAAAACAAAATAATTTTTTTATACCTATTATATCATAGACTTATATACAGAAAATACTTGATACTTTGATATTTTATGGGGTGAGCATGATATATCTATATTTAGTGTAACAGAATGATGACTGGTTGGATTGTAACCTGAATGCAACATTAAGTGGACACGTCGGCCGATGTCGATTACTTTGATTTTTTGTGTTTATTGAATAGGACAGCTGATGATAGGCAGGAAAAGGGGAGAGGGGAGGAAGTGCAGCAAAGGGCCACAGGTTGCACTCAAACCAGTGGCTGCTGCAGCAAGCCTAGGTACATGTGCTGTCAGCTCTACCAGGTGAGCTACCAGGGTATCCCCAAAGCAAGATTTCAATACTAACTATATATACAGAAAAACGTATTATAGTAAATCTAGAAGTTGCTATATTTATAAATATGGATAGTGATTTAACTCGTAAAAAATACGTAATCCGTGCCGGATAGTCGTTTGAGGTGCGTACTCACTCAACCCTATGTGGTACATTTTTTTAATTGTTTGCTATATTGTGCCTTTTTTTTTTTGCTTTATCTGTCTTGACCTTATTTCTGCCGATACGTTCAGAAGTCGAAGAGTTTTAAATGTGTGCTTTGCTTTCTTATTGCACTCTGTGTTCTCTACTTCACATCTTCATCTTTGCAGTGAGTACCAAAACAATTCTGTATTTAAAAATTAAAGGATACCATCTGCACTCTGTTTATTGCTGTAGGTATATCTAGCTAAACATAATTCACTTTAATACAACAGCCCTGCAATAAATTCTCTCTTCGTGAATATTAGAATTATCGTTTGTGTCTGTTTTAGAGAGGTGCAGCGTTGTAGTAATTTAAACTGCACTGCTTTACACTTAGTGGTGTTTTTATTATTTTGTCCACCCTATCTTTATCAGTGAAATAAGGCTAAATAACTTCAATATTATAACCTTCATGAATGAATTTTTTAAAATAACTATTACATGTTTCTGTTGTCAGACCTTTACTAGGCCTGCTACCTATGGACAAATGCTCTTTGGAAAGTGCAAAGATGCTCTCCCTTGACAACAGCGTGGATACGAGCCTTGATCTTGGGTAAGACTTTGGCCCTGCTTAGACAATTTATGGTAGTTTATAGTGCCAATCAGAATCTTTTTTGCTGAACCTGATACATGTGTTTTAACTTTAAATAACTTCTGTTATTTCAGGTCAAGACGTGACGTGCAAACATGCACATCTTGGAAAGCTCCGATTATCTGGGATGGGATGTTTGACCCTGATCTTTAAAACCAGACGCACAAGAGGGAAGGATCCTCTGTGGCTCTAACAGTGTTTGCTGTGGGAAGGTTTGTTTTGTAACGTGTATATGTATTACAGCTGAATATGTGGTCTGCCATATTTTGGGTATTTATGTTTAGCTGTGATAACTGCTATGTAAGATGTAAAAATAAAACATTGTTCACGTATTACGTATTTACGGACAACCCAGAGAAGATGCCGGACATAAAGCTCGCCCCTCAGAGAAGCATAAAGGTTATCAAAGTGGAGAGGCACGCCAGGTGGCAGGACATCTCTATGATGCGAATGAAGGCGATATCAGGTGTCATAGAGTCAGACATTCGCCACCGCTGCACTCATGTCTTCTGCTTTGACGTGGACCAGGTGTTTACTGCGAGATTTGGCTCGGAGGCTCTGGGAGATTCTGTGGCTGTGCTGCATGCACACTACTATCGCCTTCCAAGGGAGCAGTATACCTACGACCGCAACCCAAAGTCCAAGGCGTACATGGAAAATGGGGATTTCTACTACCACGCTGCTGTGTTTGGAGGCTCGTGGAGGAGTGTAAAAGCGCTGACTGAGGCCTGCTATCAGAGCATCATGGAGGATAAAGAGAATGGTGTGGAGGCATTGTGGCACGACGAGAGTCATCTCAACAAGTACATGTGGCTTCATAAACCAAGCAGGGTGCTCTCTCCGGAGTACTGCTGGGACACCAGTATCGGCTACACGAGTGACATACGAGTCTCTCGATTACTGTGGGCACCAAAACATTATGATTCACTCCGTACAAATTAGCGAGATTTGGAAATGGTGCAAAATCACCAACTACTAAACTGAACTCTCAGGTTTTCAGAGCAGTGATTTGCTCATGCACAAGTGTGGATTTTCCTAATGTAGTGACATTCACCGCCTTCGCTTTAGATAATTGTTAAAATTAGTAAATCTATGCAAATGCTGCCTTTGCTCTATTGTCAATTTATGTATACAAAACATACTGTCAGGGGTACAAAGATGTGTAAACACAAAATACTTTATTAAGTAAATGTAAGTGTGCTCAAAAGTATCACAGCAGCTTTTTTAAATCATTTTATTTCTCCCTCTTTTTGCAAAATACAGGTTAGTTTTTCAAAGTCACATAACACCAATCAGCCATAACAGGTGATGATGGTAAAGTGAATAACACTAATTATCTGGTTATCATGGCTCCTTTCAGTGGGTGGGAAATGTTAGGCAGCATTTTGTAATCAAAGTTGATGTGTTAGAAGCAGGAAAAAGGAAAAATGGGCAGCGTGAGGATTTTAGCAAATTTGACAAGGGCCAAATTGTGATGGCTAGATGACTGGGTCAGAGCATCCCCAAAACTGCAGCTCTTGTGGGGTGTTCCTGGTCTGCAGAGGTCAGTAACTATCAAAAGTGGTCCAAGGAAGGAAAAGAGGTAAACAGGAGACAGGGTCATGGGGGGCCATGGCTCATTGATGCACGTGGGGAGCGAAAGCTGGCCTGTGTGTTCTGATCCAACAGATGAGCTACTGTAGATCAAACTGCTTGAAAAGTTAATGCTGGTTCTGATAGAAAGGGGTCAGAACACACAGTGCATCAAGTTTGTCTGTATGGGGCAGCAGAACATTATGACCACCAGGGTGCCCAGGAGGTCATAATGTTATGGCTGATCGGTGGATATATATGTGTGTGTGAATTTATCAGATTCCCCTCTTTCTATGGAGTAAGATAGCTATCAAAAGGATGTGCTCATGATTCTAACCATTCGTATTCGTAATGTTAAACATTTGTATGTCAATACAATTGTTGTACATAAAATTCTGCTGTCATATACGCGAGTCTGGGGGGTTATCATGGTGCTATAAGCTGCATGTGATAAAACTGGTCTGCATTACACACTCTGTAATTAACATTTGCACACAAAAGGGGGTGAGGGAAGCGGGGGAGGAGGAGGAAAAAGGAGAGGAGGAGGAGAAGGAGGAAGAGAAAAGGAGAAGGACGAGGAGAGGAAGAAGAGGAGACGGACAAGGGGAGGAGGAGGAGGAGGCAGAGAAGGAAGACGAGGAAGAGAAGGAGGAGGAGGAGGAAAGAGGAAGAGAAGGAGGAGGAGGAGAAGGAGGGGAGGAGGAGGACGAAGAGGAGAGAAGAGGAAGAGAAGGAGGAGAAGGAGAAAGATGATATAAATATGTATGATATAAAAAATAATTGTGTATATATATATATATAAAACAAATCAATCTATGTTGTATCACAAATATATGTCTGACATTTATATTAAACCAAACGGCTTGAAAATCGGTTGGAACTTCAGTGAGTTGTGGTGATTGTAATCGTTGATCGACCTCTTCCTCTGTTGACTAATGCAGTAAGGAGATGATGGCGGCCGCGTTGACGAATCGTTCCAATGGACAGCAGCGTCAGAGGCGGCATCTACGTAACGTTATATATCTACATAGATGTGTATATATCTATGATGATATATCTATGATATATCTATGGGTCACAGGCAGGTCACAGGGCAAAATAATCGAACCCCGATTCCTCCAAACGCGCATGCGCCAAAGCCAAACGTGGCTGACAGCAGTGGACCGGGTGGAGCTGCCAGCTCAGGTGAAGCATCACAGGTAAAGTCAATAACGTGTATATCCAATATTTATTTCATCAAATTGTACTATGTAAAATAATATACAGTTCATGGACGCTAAGTTAGTGCTAGTATGGCAGCTCCTATCATTGTTGTAGTTTCAGTGTGTTTTTTGCTATTTTTAACTCTTTTCTTACTTTCTTACTACTTTGTTCACGTCGCCTGAATACTTTTTTGGGGTTTTTGAGCACTTTTTATTTTTTGTTTGCACGGCGGGGAGTCGCATTGTTTACACCCGCGACCAGATGATCGCCCTGAGGCACCCGAGCATCCTGACCGGAGAGAGAGCCTCCATACCGGAGGAGCTGAGGAGGAGCAGAACAGTCAGCGACCATGTACTCCTATACAATGTGATTTTTGTGCAGTAAGGTGTGAAACATCATCTTTACTAGTTTGTCACTTGAGGTCACATTTGCGTGAAGGATTACACATTGAATGCCCATTTAGAGGATGTGATAGAAGGTTCTCTGTTTTGTCGAGTTTTGCATCCCATCTTTCTAAGAAGCACCGCAATGACAGTGTTGAACATGTAGAAAACCCCTCTAATGTAGGAAGACCTGTTGCCAGTGAGTCAGTGTGAACCATCTAACGTTAATTATTCTGATGATGAGAAGTGCCTGTTTCAGTTGATCTTGGAGTACTTGGGAAAGGTTCTGGAAGCCTACAATGAAGAGAGTGGCAACAAAGCTATCTGCACCATCATGTGCCTGCTTGCTCACTTCAAGGAGGGGGGTGGTATCTTCCTTACGACTGATGTGAGTATAACTTGCAGTGCATATACATAAATTAACCATTCCCTCCCATCTCTGTCCTGCTATTTGTAATTGTTAATTACCAGAAATCAGTCACCAGCCCCATCCTTTGCTATGGACACTTTGCACAAGTTATTCTAGTACTCCATAGACTCTGATTAGCCTGAGACACCCGTCTCATTCAAAGCGTTTACAAAGGGGGAGGGCTTTAGATACCTTTTCAAAAGAAAACTTTTCCCATTGCCAGTTCGATGAACAGCCAAAATGTCATTCCTTCTAAAAAAGCTCTCCATGCAGAATACTGTTCTGGTTTCAGAGCAGTTATTCCAGTAAACCGTGTGTTTTTTACAAAAACTGCCTCAATCGCACTATCGATATTCTCCGATCTCCGATATTTGCCATGTGCAGCTGTTTCTACATTTGGCACCATAAATTGAAGCTGATTTCGGCCCTTGGTGTTGAGTAGAACATGACAGCTTTTGTTTTCTTTGTCCTTGTTCACTCAACTTACCCATGATTAACTTATGGTTGTTATTCTCCAGCCCTGTGCCACGGCTGCCGATATCGAGAGAGCTGTCACCCTGCCAAGCACACCTTGATTAGTTGTACCAGGTATAATCTTCTCTTATTTTGTAGAAGTTAATTCTTAAATGAATTCATGTGATTGAGGGAGGACTGTTGCTCCTAAAAAATGTCTCTCTTTGAGTTGTTGATGGAGGGTGCGGTGGTCAAAGGAGATAATAATGTTCAAGTGGAGGTCTGCAAGTCTTTCTCCACTTGAACATTAATGAATTCATGTTAGGTGGTTCTAGTGTTAGGTGGCTCTAATGTGTTGTGCAGCTTTTAGTTATCATATTGTTAATGGATTTCAGGAGAGATACTGCGCGGTGCAGACACGTGGATTATGTCCATGGAAGGAGCATGTGTGATTGGGCCCCACAGCAACCTCCTGCAACTTGCAATATCCGGCAGAAGCCGCTAGCACACTTGAGTTCATCCAGAGGTGTGTTTAAACATGGCACTGTCATGAAAACGATCATAGCAATGACTTGATATATGAAGGGATCTTAATCAATGTTTATGACTTTTCTGTAATTGACATTTTTGTTAGAGTTAGGGATGTCAGTAAGTTGGCCCGGCCCACTTAATACAAAAACATATTGAGTGATCAGATTTTACACATTACTTTGCAGGTATAAGAAAAAACTCAAATTATGCTATCCAATTTAGTGAGAAAGCGATGAGCGAGGAGAGGCATGAGAGAGGAGAGGGGATGGGGAGAGAGTAATGACGATTGCACACACAGACACCCACTCAATCTCTCACAGGCACACACTCAGGGGTTAAAGTATTCCGGCACCGTGCCGGATCTGCGGCATGACACGGTTGTGAAGAAATTTTCATCAGGATAGAAATTCGGGAAGGTTTATCATTTTTGAGTTCCCCAAAATCAATGGCAGCTCTCGCTTAAAAAAAAAAAAACGTGTTTAGCCAATCAGAAGCAGAGTAGGGCGGGACTTGTGTTCGCTAGCAATAACAACGTGCAGCTACCCAACAAGATGAAAGTTTTGTCTGAAAGTGTTTTTTTTTTTTTTTCCTGTTTTCAGAGCCTTTTGCGGCATAAATCCCCAGACGGGCAGCAAGGCAGAGAAAAAACGAGGGCTGAACGCACCAGTTTGCACACTTTTGAGAAAACTGCTGGATTTTGAATTGGTGGGTAGGGGACATTAGTGGGCAGAGGGACATTAGTGGGCAGAGGACATTACAGGACATTAGTGGGCAGGGGACATGTCTCTATCAGCAAACTTGATCACAATATTGGATTGATGTGCTTGAAAAGGCTGAATATTCCTCTTTTGTTGGATTATTCATGTTTAGATTTCTGAAATATGTTTTACAACTCACGTTCAACCAGTTTGGTACAGTAATAGCAGCAGGGCTGCTGAGAAAGGAATCTATGATGGCAGCTTTGCCAATTTTTTCCCATCTGAGCAGTCCTTTTTGTCTATGCTTTTGCTGGTAGTTCTCAGAAGTATGTCTTTGTATTGCAATGTTATACATTTTCTTTTAACACAAAACCAGGCTTGTTTCAGCCATGTGTTACTAAAATAGTCTTAGTACATACAGGGACAGTGAATTTTACATGTTAGAGATTGTTGTTGAAAATAAATAATGAGGAATGACTGTTTGTGCATTGTGCACTGTGTTATCTCTTCAATTTCAAAAGAGAAAATAAAAATATCAAAAAACAACAAAAATACCACTTGTCTCGTTTTTCTTCGCAGAAGTCTGAAAGAGGACATTTATCCAAGTTACAACATTTAAGTGTAATATTTACAATATTCTTGTATTGTATTGTAATTAATTACAGTTGGGATGTTGTATTAAGTACAGTAACTTGTTGTAGTGAGTTTACAGTAACAGTCCTGTATACTGTACTGTTTACAGTAAATTTACGGCAATTATTAGCCAGGAATTTCCTGTAAAATTACAAGAAATTTCTAACAGTGAGGGTGCTGAGAATTGTGCAGCCAATCAGTTGAAAATAATACATATTTGGACAGTTGGCACATCTTCTCCCACAGTTGAAGTGAAGTGAAAGTGCATGTCATGAGATACTTCTGCATTATAAGTCTGACAAACACATTGTACAGTCACTCAAGGGCTGTCTGCTACCTCAAGCCCATTTAGCTATCAACATCTGAACCTTTTACCCTTCTCGCTGTGAATAAATACTGGACCAGCACTAATGCACAGGAAACCCTGCTTCCCCGCCCCCCAGTCCGAGAATAAACAAATACAACAAACAGATAACCATATGAGGATGCATCTTTTCACCTACAACCTGCATGTCGCTGAAACTTTTCGATCTTGGGTCAATATATTGTTTTATTGCAGGTAAGTAAGTTTGTATGGGCCTTATGATTGTACTTCTTGTTCAATTTTTTATTTGTTTTTTGGTTGTTGTTGTTTTAACCTGTCAAAATTTAATAAAGATTCTTTAAAAAACGAAAAACGTAACGCGTGTAGCCTAACTGAAATCACCTGTTACGCATGCGTTGGAGGTCAAATTGATTACTGTTGGTGCGCAAAGAAAAATAGATCCTTAAATGGCTGGAAAACAACAACATTATCGCTTTGTAACATAAATGTAAAATGATAGTGTTTATACATGAGCTGTGTTATTATTCTAAACACAATAGTCTATGTCATGTATATGGACAGGATAGGGGCTAAAATAGGGGTTTAGTGTATGCCTTTACACAACTTTAAAATACATTTAGAGATGTTTTCCTATCGGCAAATGATCGAAATGTAGTGAACGACTCTACGTTTATGAGACGTGCTGCTGTGGCCGCGTTTGCCGTGCAACCAGGACACTTGTTCAGGTAGCTACAAGGGAAGCAGAGGGGGCGGTAGGCTACTTGCCGGATAGAGAGAGCCACTCCTGTCTGATTAATGCTGATATACTTGAGGACAGAGTATAGACAGACAGGGCAGCAACGGCACTTTGCTACATGAAGAGACGGCCCGCAGAGACCTCACTCCAAATCCAGGTGAAATTATTGGACTGTAAATATTTGGGACGAGTTATGGGTGCAATGCGGCTGACATCGGCTCACAGGTAAGTCAGCAGTTGCTTTAGTGCCTTAACCTTGTGTAGGTTGTGTATCGTGTGTTGAGCAGACATTGTGGTTTACTTAAGGTTCGGGATGGGCGCGTTCAGTTTAGTTTTTGAGTTTAAGGGCTCTGAAGAAATAGTTAATTTAAGTAAAACGGAAAGGAAAAGTGAATATTGATAAACATTTAGGTTTTTATAATTCAAGTTTACAAACGAATCAGGATACATAATGTGTGACTTGGAGATTAAAATATAGGCAAAACATGTAGATGGATATTATTGTCTATCATATTAGAAACTATTGTTCTCACAAGATTCAGTGCAAAGAGGAAAATGGACTCATGTTTTAAATGGGAACCAAGCTCAGTCCTCAGAATACAGACAATGTTCATGTTAGAACAAGTTTAGCACATGGCTCAATTCTCACTGAATCATTGTAACATTTTTGAAAACATTTTTGCAGTTTTGCAACATAATTGCATAATTACTTCCCTGCCACTGTTATCCATCTAAAAGTGTGTGGCGGGTAAAGGATTGTATGTAAAAGAAAGAGGCAAAGAAATGCTTTTTTTTTTTTGTCTATTTTTCTTTTTTTTTTTTTGTAGGATTAATATCTTAATAACTTTTACAGTAATGTTATATGTTGTCCAGTATATCAGCTCACTTTGTTTAGACTTTATGGTTGATAGAGAACTGAGCTAATGCAGTGAAGTACTGATCATCATTTTATCTTAACTGTATTTACAGTAAAACAATAAATAAAACAAAGTCATTCTTACTCTGCATTACTTTAAATACTGACTGACTGATGTTTTTCTTGTTTCTCATTGTAATTTGGGAGGAAATACCCATAAAATACTATTTTGTTGTTGTCTTGTCTATGTAAGAAACTGGATGTCTGAGACTTTTCTTCAACTGGACTCAACCAAAATAACCAAATACTGTCATCTACTGGGTCCCTGCCTGAGTTTATTAAGCTGGTTGCTGAAAATCTGGGTGTCTTGTTGGTTTTTATCAACTAATGGAACATTGCCAGATTTTAAACTTCACCTCCGCATTCACTCAAAGAACACGTTGTTCTAATTGTTCCTACAGTTGGATGTTTGAGCAACATTCATCTGCTGAAAGTGGAAAGTTTCTCTGTGCTTGTTGAAAATCAAGTTTTAAGGAGTCGGGGCCTATGTTTGCAAGTCAACTGGTCCAATATGCAACTTATACAAATGTGATATAGAAACTTGAAGCCACCAGTGAACATACACAGACTTTACAGTGAAATAGGAGACATCTGGTGTCCAGAAGGAAAATGTTTGCATATTCATAGATTGAAAGAACGTATCGAACACATGATTGTTCCAAGAGGCCTATTTGTATGTTTGAATACATGACTACATGATGTCTTAAATATACATGTTAAGATACTATTTTTGCAAATGTTTATCTGATCAAGCTTTACTGTTACAGCCTTTTTACATGTCTCACTAGAAAACATGTAGACTGGCTACAGACAGTGCAGCACTCAGCGGACAGGCTTTCAACCACAGTAAACAGGTTTTAGCACTGGCTTCTAGTATATTTTTAGAATTTATTTTAAGTTTTTTTTTTTTGTGACTTACAAGGCACTAAATTGTCTGACTCTGTACATCTCAGATCTTTTATAAGACCCTGGTCACACTTTGAGACCTCTGGCAGAGGCATTTTATCTCTGTCGGATTTGGCTGAAGACTAAGGGGGACAGAGGGAATTCGGCAGTCTGAGTGTGATTTTTTTATTTTTATTTTTTAAATCTAAACTTAAAGGTTCAGTATGTGACATTAAGGAGGATGCATTGGCAGAAATTAAATATAACACTCATAATACTCATGTTTTCATTAGTGTAGAATTACAAGACAATAAGAATCGCTGTGTTTTCGTGTCGTAGAATGAGCTGTTTATATCGACAGAGGTCGTCTTCTACAGAGTCCGCCATGTAAAACCACCATGTTTCTACTAGTAGTCGACGGATCTGGGTTTTTCAATGGATGATGTTGATGTTCAGAGAGCAGGGCTGACGATTGCTGATATATATTGCTGATATCAATGCAAAGAAAAGTCATGTATGATTATTTTCTGTTCTACAAAAATTCAGGTATATGTTTACAGCAGGATGCTGTAAATGAGAGAGGGCTAGAAACATCACTGACACGGCTACCTGGAGATATGTCTAAAGAAATGTTTTGTCGGCCTAAAAGAGAAATTTGAAGGCATCTGACAGTTGGCAAAGCAGAAGGCACAATAAATGTGTCACGGGATTCCAGTCCTTCCAGTCAACTGAATGTTAATGCAGCCCTTCATAGTCAAATACTGGTTAAATTACTCGACCATTTTTAAATGTACGAAAACAAAATTATTGTTTTATACCTATTATATCATAGACTTATATACAAAAAATACTTGATACTTTGATATTTTATGGGGGTGAGCATGATATATCTATATTTAGTGTAACAGAATGATGAATGGTTGGATTGTAACCTGAATGCAACATTAAGTGGACACGTCCGCCGATGTCGATTACTTTGATTTTTTGCGTTTATTGAATAGGACAGCTGATGATAGGCAGGAAAAGGGGGGAGGGGAGGAAGTGCAGCAAAGGGCCACAGGTTGCACTCAAACCAGTGGCTGCTGCAGCAAGCCTAGGTACATGTGCTGTCAGCTCTACCAGGTGAGCTACCAGGGTATCCCCAAAGCAAGATTTCAATACTAACTATATATACAGAAAAACGTATTATAGTAAATCCAAAAGTTGCTATATTTATAAATATGGATAGTGATTTAACTCGTAAAAAATACGTAATCTGTGCCGGATAGTCGTTTGAGCTGCGTACTCACTCAACCCTATATGGTACATATTTTTTAATTGTTTGCTATATTGTGCCTTTTTTTTGCTTTATCTGTCTTGACCTTATTTCTGCAGATACGTTCAGAAGTCGAAGAGTTTTAAATGTGTGCTTTGCTTTCCTATTGCACTCTGTGTTCTCTACTTCACATCTTCATCTTTGCAGTGAGTACCAAAACAATTCTGTATTTAAAAATTAAAGGATACCATCTGCACTCAGTTTATTGCTGTAGGTATACCTAGCTAAACATAATGCAGTTTAATACAACAGCCCTGCAATAAATTCTCTCTTCGTGAATATTAGAATTATCGTTTGTGTCTGTTTTAGAGAGGTGCAGCGTTGTAGTAATTTAAACTGCACTGCTTTACACTTAGCTGTGTTTTTATTATTTTGTCTACCCCATGTTTATCAGTGAAAGAAGGCTAAATAACTTCAACATTATAACCTTCATGAATTAAAATTTTAAAATAACTATTACATGTTTCTGTTGTCAGACTTTTAATAGGCCTGCTACCTATGGACAAATGCTCTTTGGAAAGTGCAAAGATGCTCTCCCTGGACAACAGCGTGGATACGAGCCTTGATCTTGGGTAAGACTTTGGCCCTGCTTAAACAATTTATAGTGCATGGATTGAAGTGCATGACGAGTCCACTTTCGCTAGTTAAGTGGTGCATAATCCGAGCACAAAGTAAGACACAAGTCACAAAGGGGTTGTTAGTTTTCTAATTAATAATTGTGTTTTGGGCGTAACACAAAATAAAACCAATCAGAATCTTTTTTGCTGAACCTGTGTTTTTAACTTTAAATAACTTCTGTTATTTCAGGTCAAGACATGACGTGCAAACATGCACATCTTGGAAAGCTCCCATTATCTGGGATGGGATGTTTGACCCTGGTCTTTATGACCAGACGCACAAGAGGGAAGGATCCTCTGTGGCCTTAACAGTGTTTGCTGTGGGAAGGTTTGTTTTGTAACGTGTATATGTATTACAGCTGAATATGTGGTCTGCCATATTTTGGGTATTTATGTTTAGCTGTGATAACTGCTATGTAAGATGTAAAAATAAAACATTGTTCAGACATGACATGTTCTTGTCTCCACTTCCACCAAAGGTACCTGGATGCTTACCTCAGCACCTTCCTGAACTCATCAGAGCATCACTTCATGGTGGATTTGCCCGTCACGTATTACGTATTTACGGACAACCCAGAGAAGATGCCGGACATAAAGCTCGCCCCTCAGAGAAGCATAAAGGTTATCAAAGTGGAGAGGCACGCCAGGTGGCAGGACATCTCTATGATGCGAATGAAGGCGATATCAGGTGTCATAGAGTCAGACATTCGCCACCGCTGCACTCATGTCTTCTGCTTTGACGTGGACCAGGTGTTTACTGGGAGATTTGGCTCGGAGGCTCTGGGAGATTCTGTGGCTGTGCTGCATGCATACTACTACCGCCTTCCAAGGATGTGGTATACCTACGACCGCAACCTAAAGTCCAAGGCGTACATGGAAAATGGGGATTTCTACTACCACGCTGCTGTGTTTGGAGGCTCGTGGAGGAGTGTAAAAGCGCTGACTGAGGCCTGCTATCAGAGCATCATGGAGGATAAAGAGAATGGTGTGGAGGCATTGTGGCACGATGAGAGTCATCTCAACAAGTACATGTGGCTTCATAAACCAAGCAGGGTGCTCTCTCCGGAGTACTGCTGGGACACCAGTATCGGCTACAGGACCGACATACGAGTCTCTCGATTACTGTGGGCACCAAAACATTATGATTCACTCCGTACAAGTTAGCGAGGTTTGGAACTGCTGCAAAATCACCAACTACTAAACTGAACTCTCTCAGGTTTTCAGAGCAGTGATTTGCTCATGCACAAGTGTGGATTTTCCTAATGTAGTGACATTCAGCGCCTTCGCTTGTAGATAATTGTTAAAATTAGTAAATCTATGCAAATGCTGCCTTTGCTCTATTGTCAATTTATGTGTACAAAATACTTTATTAAGTAAATGTAAGTGTGCTGAAAAGTATCACAGCAGCTTCTTTTTCATCATTTTATTTCTCCCTCTTTTTGTAAAATACAGGTTAGTTTTTCAAAGTCACATAACACCAATCAGCCATAACAGGTGATGATGGTAAAGTGAATAAGACTAATTATCTGGTTATCATGGCTCCTTTCAGTGGGTGGGAAATATTAGGCAGCATTTTGTCCTTGTTGATGTGTTAGAGGCAGGAAAAAGGAAAAATGGGCAGCGTGAGGATTTTAGCAACTTTGACAAGGGACAAATTGTGATGGCTAGATGACTGGGTCAGAGCATCCCCAAAACTGCAGCTCTTGTGGGGTGTTCCTGGTCTGCAGTGGTCGGTAACTATCAAAAGTGGTCCAAGGAAGGAAAAGAGGTAAACAGGAGACAGGGTCATGGGGGGCCATGGCTCATTGATGCACGTGGGGAGCGAAGGCTGGCCTGTGTGTTCTGATCCAACAGACGAGCTACTGTAGCTCAAACTGCTTGAAAAGTTAATGGTGGTTCTGATAGAAAGGGGTCAGAACACACAGTGCATCACAGTTTGTCTGTATGGGGCTGCAGAACATTATGACCACCAGGGTGCCCCGGAGTTCATAATGTTATGGCTGATGGGTGGATATATATGTGTGTGAATTTATCAGATTCGCCTCTTTCTCAGTTCCTTCTTTCCTGATGGACAGTTATCATACAGTCGAGACACTGCCATACTATTTTTTTCAAAGGTGTTAAGAGCTCAGAATGATGAACGATGAATTGAAGATATGGTGAAACCACTTGTGAGATAAAGGACTGACTAATTTGTTTCCATTTCCTGTGTTCATTTTAAGCAGAGTAAAAGCTAGCAATTTGAATTGACTTTGAATTCATTTAATGAGTGATGTTTAATGTTTCCGTCTCTAACGGAAACATTAAACTTGGATAAATGTCCTCTTTCAGACTTCTGCAAAGAAAAACAAAACAAGTGGTATTTTTGTTGTTTTTTGATATTTTTATTTTCTCTTTTGAAATTGAAGAGATAACACAGTGCACAATGCACAAACAGTCATTCCTCATTATTTATTTTCAACAACAATCTTTAACATGTAAAATTCACTGTCCCTGTATGTACTAAGACTATTTTAGTAACACATGGCTGAAACAAGCCTGGTTTTGTGTTAAAAAAAAATGTATAACATTGCAATACAATGACCCTACCCACCAATTCAAAATCCAGCAGTTTTCTCAAAAGTGTGCAAACTGGTGCGTTCAGCCCTCGTTTTTTCTCTGCCTTGCTGCCCGTCTGGGGATTTATGCAGCAAAAGGCTCTGAAAACAGGGGGGGGGAAACACACTTTCAGACAAAACTTTCATCTTGTTGGATAGCTGCACGTTGTTATAGCTAGCAAAAACACGTTTTTTTTAAGCGAGAGCTGCCATTGATTTTGGGGAACTCAAAAATGATAAACCTTCCCGAATTTCTATCCTGATGAAAATTTCTTCACAACTGCGTCATGCCGGAGATCCGGCACGGTGCCGCAATACTTTAACCCCTGAGTGTGTGCCTGTGAGAGATTGAGTGGGTGTCTGTGTGTGCAATCGTCATTACTCTCTCCCCATCCCCTCTCCTCTCTCATGCCTCTCCTCGCTCATCGCTTTCTCACTAAATTGGATAGCATAATTTGAGTTTTTCTTATACCTGCAAAGTAATGTATAAAATCTGATCACTCAAAATGCGAAGTAATATGTTTTTGTATTAAGTGGGCCGGGCCAACTTACTGACATCCCTAACTCTAACAAAAATGTCAATTACAGAAAAGTCATAAACATTGATTAAGATCCCTTCATATATCAAGTCAATGCTATGATCGTTTTCATGACAGTGCCATATTTAAACACACCTCTGGATGAACTCAAGTGTGCAAGCGGCTTCTCCCGGATATTGCAAGTTGCAGGAGGTTGCTGTGGGGCCCAATCACACATGCTCCTTCCATGGACATAATCCACGTGTCTGCACCGCGCAGTATCTCTCCTGAAATCCATTAACAACATAATAACTAAAATCTGCACAACACATTAGAGCCACCTAACACTAGAACCACCTAACATGAATTCATTCATTCAAAAATGTCTTGCGGAAAGCCTCCACTTGAACATTATTATCTCCTTTGACCACCACACCCTCCATCAACAACTCAAAGAAAGAATTCATTAAAGAATTAACTTCTACAAAATAAGAGAAGATTATACCTGGTACAACTAATCGAGGTGTGAGTACATAAAAGTATGTGTAATGGGCGTTGTTGACATGACACAACAAACCCTGTTAATCGTGTTAATTAGGTGTCTAACTGTAGAACGGCTTCATGTCAGTGAAGCCTTACCCTTAAGGTCACTTAGGAATCATTATTAAATACAAATACAGCATAACATTTCACAGCTACAGTCGAGACACTGCCATGCTATTTTTGTCAAAGGTGTCAAGAGTTCAGAATGAGAGAGCTCAGGTTTGTGATGAACGATGAACTGAAGATATGGTGAAACCACTTGTGAGATGAAGGACCGGATACTGCACTAATTTGTTTCCATTTCATTTCAAGCATAGTAAAAGCTAGCAATTTGAATTGACTTTGAATTCATTTAATGAGTGATGTTTAATGTTTCCGTCTCAATGCCCCTCAAATGATATCTGACATAAACTTTTTGCTATCTGACTATAGTGAGAGACCATAATCAACACAGGGTACAAGCAAATCGAGTTGTCTCGAGAATCAACTGACTTGAACAAAGAAAATCACTCTATTATATGCCTCTTTCCCAAAGAATGTAGCCTCTTTCCCCAAGGATGTCTATTGGTGACATCTAATGTCTGATAAACAGTAGTCATAACACATCTGATGCCCAACTCTCCCAGAGACAGCCTTGGTCTTTGGAATGTGCCTAGCTCATGGCACAATGAATAACACCTTTCCTAACTAGGGTGAGACAACCAGAATGTGAATACATGAGGATGATCATAAAATATTATACTGTAAGCCTGTACAATTAAACATAGAATAACCCAACATAATATAGTTTGCTTCATGTTCACAGAACCTTATCCCTGAATGCATTTGATTGAGCTTGACCAAGAGTTAACGTTTTTTCTGTTTGCTTTGCATCTTACACCTATGATTGTGCATTTGGCCTGACTGCTGAACAGCATGTCGTTCCAGTTTTTACTTTGCTTGTATCTTATGTGACACATGAACTTGACTGATTGCTTCTTCCTTATACTGTTCTTTTACAGGTCCAAACAATTTGTTGGCTGCATTTTTGTTAATTTATGGTGTTTTTAAAAATGAATTCAGTTCTAAATTGCACGTATTTAACTTTCACTCAGGGGAGCTTTAAACTTATTGGTGATGTTGATAGAGAAACTGTTGTTGATTTGGGGTGGTCCAGATTTTTGTTGTGTTCAGTATGAACTTGATAATTAAATCAAAAGAGAAGGAAAGGACAGAGAAAGGTAAAATATTGTTTTGTTTTTTAAATTAAATTACTTACAAATAAAATAGTTTCTGTACAGTATATTCATGAACTGCTGAGGGCGGCAGAGGGAGTCGAGTGGTCTGAGCCGCTATGAGTGGAGGTCAGGTTCAGGTAGCCCATCTCTGCGGATCGAGACAGGGGCACAGAGATCAAACAGCGAGTGGAAGAAGTCACGTCTGTCTTTCTCTGAGTATTCTTCAATACGCCTTGAATTTCTGGCGGCTCAGGCATCATCACACTACGGACACAATAAAAGTTCACAGACATTCAATGGTGTTTAATTTAGCAGGCAAACAGGTTTTCCTGAAGTTCTGAATCGCGATCAGACCTACCTTGGAGTTGGCACAGGGAGATGTTTAAAAACCTGTGTAGGAGCGGATATTTTCTTTAGTTCCTAAAACAACAAATGAAAAATCATTATAGATTAACCATTTAAAGTTCCCCTCTAGACATGTATTAAGAAACAGTCTGCATGGAACAATAATGTGTCTGCAAAAAAAAGTATAATTTTCCTCATTAAAATCGTTAGACATCTACTCCGTTTAACTCAATAAATGTTCCAGAATCTATAAATATACAAATGTTGTCTTCTACTTCAATGTACTTCACAAACTTTTTGTGCTGCCACAAATCATGCTCAAAGGCCCCAAATATGTTGCTCAGTGAGCACAGAGAAACTTTCAGCAGATGAATGTGAAAACATCCTTCTAGTGTCAAACATAAATCATTCTGCACAGTGACGCTCAAACATCCAACTGTAGGAACAAGAAGAAAAACATTATTGGATGGATTACCATGACGCTGGTGGTACACACATTCATGTCGCCCCCCAGGAGGAATTGTAATCACTTTGATCATCAGTTTTCATGTAGCAGCATCATCTGGCCAAAATGTGTGTAGTTCTTTGGTTTATGACTAAATACCTGCAAAACTAATGACATTCCCATCAGCCTCAGCTGTACTTTGTTTTTTGTGCTAATAAGCAAATGTTAGCATGCTAACAGGCTAAACTAAGAACATGGTAAACACTATACCAGCTAAACATCAGAATCTTATCATGATCATTGTGAGTATGTTAGCATGCTGACGTTAGCATTAAGCTCAAAGCTCAGCCGAGCCGAAGTACAGCGCTGGCACATGGCTGCAGACTCTTAGCCTGGTTAATCCATCCAACAATTTACTATTCTGCCGTCTTACAATGGCCAAACAACATTAATATTAGCAACTCCAGATCATAGCCTGTGTATAAAGATGAAGAAGACTATGCCCGGTACCTCAGCAAAGTGAAGTGACTGCATGGTTTGCAGGCTGCGTTCCAGGACAGCTAGCTGATTGGACATGTGGACTATTTTGTTTCCTAGTTTCTTGTTTTCCATCTCTAGAAAATCCACCCTTGAGATAAAAACAAACATCTCTTTTTTGTCAATAAACACACATTAGAGAAAAGCACAGTATCTTAGTTGATAGCTATATAAATAACTTGAGCTATTTCCTTTAAACATAATGTGTAGATTCAGTGTTGACTGTAAGAGGTCAGTGTACCTGCATTTGGACAAAGAAGCTGTTAGATAACTGTCCTTCTGGTTGTGTTCCTCCTCATTTAGCTGTTGTAGAAGCCTCCTCCTCTCAACAAGTAGTTTGTCATTTTCCACAGTTATTTTTACGGTAAGCTCTTTTTCCTGAGAAAGAAAAAAAATCTTCATCATCCAATTTTATACTGGATATTTACATTATTCTATAAAACTTTAAGCATTGCAACAGTTTAACATAATTTACACAACCTGTTACCTTGGCCACTGAGTCAATATATTAACATACTGTAGCTACAGAAACAAAAGTAAAGTACTCACTGAGCATATAAACTTATAAATAAAATAAATCTAAAACAAATAATGATACATTGAAAACATCCTGGTTTCTTTTGTGTGAAGTAGGACAAAGTAGCAGATTTACCTTTGCTAATGAATGGGAACACAACGACAGTTCTCGCTCTAGATTTTTTATCTTCTCATCACGTGATGTGGTTTCATCATCGAATTTCGCTTTGGCTCGACACAGTTTCGCCTTGTGTTTTTCCTTCATCTCGTGGTATTTACTGTACAAGGATGGACAAAAATCACACGTATATAATCAGCACAGCATCTATAATGCTGATTAAACTGTGTCAAAAAAGCAAAAGGTTATACTCCATATATTATTATTATTATTATTATTATTAAGATAGAGGGACATTATATGTTGTCATAGACTGTCAAAGTTTCCACTGTCCTCTACAGGGAGAGGTGTCTTGGTGTTTGTTAATTCATATCTTTATATTGTGTCACATTGTAGGTCTATTACCTCCGCTCTTTGTCGAGGCATTTAAGTGTTTCACAGATCTCCTTCTTGAGTGTCTCACACTTGTCTTGGGTAGCCAACTGAATCTTCACTGCTTCTTGATAATCAGGACACTCCTGCAAGTACAGAAATCAGCAGTGATCAAGAATCTGTTGTTTCGTCATGAAACTCACTCTGGTATGTATTCTCTGAGCTTAACACATGGGTGGCAACTGTTGGGTGTTATGGATCACAGTTTAGAAAATTATATGACAGAACTGAGATGAAACATATCAGTGTTGTTGTTAATATTGACATTATTACCAAAGTTATTAAAATCAGCATTTCGTGGATTGAAAATGGCTCAACACACCCTCTACTGTTTCAGATCACTACACTTTGCAAGGCCAGTGCTGACATAGAGTTGACAGTTTGGAGCAACTATACGTCATGATGTTTATACTAAAAAAGAGCATTAAAGCCCTCTAATCAGAGGAGCTCAGCCCACCTCCCCCAGCCTCCGCTTTCATTTTCAAATGTACGCTGATGGAGACATATCATTCATGGTAGTTTATGTAATTATTTTTGCTAATCCTCTACTTAGTGTATTTTAATAGTTTAATGGTTTGGCATTGACGGGGGTTACCGACAGACACACACACACTTATCAGACAGTTAGCCTCTCTGAATCGTTCAGACATAGTCCAGGTAAATTACCAATTTTCCAGAATATTCAAACGTATAAGACATTACCTTACACAGCTCTTTATCTTCTGTTGGAAAGGAGTCCGTCAGCTGACAGTGAGTGTTTTCACATTGCTGTGAATTGTCCTCTTTTTGCTTCCACGGCCTTCAAACACACATATGGACACACACAGAAACCTTCACCTACCTATGTATTATTGCAACACTGAGAGCTTGCATGCACACACAGCAGTTGTTGGATAGTGTAAGGTGGTAGAATATCCTACTTTTGACCCTGAACATTGTTCTCTTTGGTGAAGATGGTAGCTATAAGGTTATCCAGATCTTTATGGGAATTATCAAGCTGCTGCTTTAGGAAATGTACCTGAAAGGATAGAAAATAGTTTTGATATCTCATAATAGGCAACAAATGCCATTGTAGTGCATTTCTCTTAAAAATAAATGTGAGTATCTGTTAATGAATGTGTCGTCAATGTAAATATCTGAAATCTCCTAATCATCTCTTAATAATCTTTTAATATACTGAATCACTCACTTCTGACTCCTTCTCCAAAAGGCATCTCGTCTGAGTGCTGAGCTTATTTTGTAAATCCCTGCAGATCTCATTGCTCTGAATCAATTCAGTTGCCTGAGACTGGAAACACAACAAAATCAATATCATCATTGACACTGTGTTTAAGGCGGAAACAATTTTTCAACCCGAGTCTAGCTCCACAAAGAAATGGAAATAATAGGGATGAAAGAAGCATGTATACTGAAGAGGTACATTTAAATTGTTAAAATTTTGTATTGAGTTTGAGAACAGGCAAAAGTTATTGTAATGGTGTGCATTACATAGTAATAACATAGTTTGAGTAACGTTATTGCTTTGCACAAACAAGTAACTAAAGCCAGGGTTGAAGTTGTGGTGGTGGAGAAATACTGCGCCCTTTGTGGCAGACAGAACTGCATAGTGAAAGAAGGGCTAATAGGGACCCAGTCTAAGTGAGGATGGTGCCATTATTCTACAGCCATTACACAGTGGAATCAACATGTACTTAATAGTGACAAGTTAAAAGCAAAAAAGTTGTATATTTCTACTAAAAATTTGTAAGATTCAGTAAAAACCTAATTTTCTTTACAGAGGGAGACATTCACATGCGGATTTACCAAACCTGCAAGTTCAGGAGCTGCTGCTCAGTCTGCTGCTGCTGTTCCTGCAGGGCTGACTCAAGCCGCTCCACCTCTCTCTGCAGAGATCCAACCTGAGACAGATAACACACAGATCAATGAAGTCAAGCACAGAGTCCACATTCACAATGCACTTTAGAGGTTTGACATGGTCAGGTCAAGACCTGGGGTCTCATGTACAAACGTTGCATACACACAAAATCTGTGCATACACCATTTTTCACGTTCACGTTCGGATGTACTAAAAGTGAAATGAACGTGAGAATGTGCGGTCCTCCACGGCAGCTTCATTGATGGCGTACGTACATATTTTTTGCTTATGTCAGTTGTCAGTTGGCGACACTCACAGGCGATGCATTGAAAATGCATAGCCGAAATTAACAATTGCTCTCGGGACATTTAGATATTTATTTAACAGTTAACAATAAAGTGCGGACCGATGTGCCGCCGTCTCATCAGCATGGCTCACACACAACAACAACTAGCGCTCACTGGGAGCGTGGTGACGTCACGTCTTGTACGTACTGTAATCCTTTCACAATACAGCAGTACAGTATATCAGTCTACCGTAATACAGGGACTCCACCACCTGCGGCCTGAAGGCTTTGGCGATGGGCAGATATGTCTTCATATCTGACCACTTCTTTTTCAACTCCGCTGCGGTGCGGTGCGGTTCTCCGACCCTAACGAGTTTACTGCCTGTGCCACGCAAAATACTTTTTTTTTTGCCTCTACCTCCGTCAGCAGCACCTCCAATTCACACTCCGTAAAATTTATTTTTTTCCTGGCTTTTGCCATTTTCCAAAAGACAGCACTATCTAGGCCTATTTATACTAATTAGCATATTCAAATCGGTGTATTTGAGGGAGGGGACAGGGTGGAGCGTTGCGCTCGTGCATGTGCGCTCAATTTCACATTGATTGCGATGTACAAAGACAATGTGCGTGGGATTCTGCGTACGCACGTTTTGAATTATTTTGTGCGTACGGAACTTTCACTCTTTCAGTGTACGCCACATTCTAGTGCGAAATCCACACAAGTCTTAGTACATGAGGCCCCTGCTCTATTTAAAAAGTGTCTTGAGATAAGCTTTTGTTATGAATTGGCGCCATACAAATAAAATTGAATTGAACCCCTACAGTATTTAAGCAGGGATTTTCTTTTATTCACACTGACATTTCAGACAAATTACTGATGACTTAAACAGATTCAGCATGGAGCACTGGCAAGTTAAACTGTGCAAATAAAAAAAAACCTGTGACATTAATATTGGAGATAATAAGATTAAGGCAGACTTTCAGGACTGCAAGGTTTTGGATTTACAAGACTTCGAGGATGCTTCATAATCCTTAACAGACATGTGATGTAGTTTTTATGTACTCACAATTTCCTCCTTTTCTAAAAGGCATCTTGTCTGAGCACTGAGTTCCTCCTGTATATTTCTGCAGGTCTGGTTGTTCTGCGCCCGCTCTTCTGCTCGAGACTAAAAAACAACAAAAAACAAAAAATATACTTTTTCAACACATACACACACAAGCATCTTATTGGATGTGTTGTTTTCAAGGATATGTTGGGATCCAAGGATACCTTTTAAATATGAACTTGTTCATTTGAAATGTTTAACTGGACCAAAGGGAACATGTTGGAATCTGACCATGTGCTCAAACAAAGGAACTGTCCAGGGGCCTGTATGTAAGTCATAAAACCTTTCTAGTAGTGACTAAAGACAAAAGAAACCAGACCAGATAACAGACCCCTCTTTGGGGTGGTCAAGAATGCAGCCAAAGTGTGGTTTAAAAGCCGTAAACGCCCAGACACCGGCCTTTCAAGATTCCCTTGGACTCCAGACCTGTCATCAAGGCTACTTAAGCCAGAGAGATGCTCTCTCTCTCTCCTCTCTTCTACCTCCGCTCCTGCTCACACCCGCAGCTCACCCGCAACTCTTTTTCATCTCCATTGGACTGTTGGTAACGTACTGGGCAAAGACAGACAACTTAACAGAGTTAACGGCTAAACAAGGACTGTTTAGTTATTGTTAATGTTGCTGATGTGTTTTATTCAGGTTACTGTGTTATGTTGATTTGATTAACTGAGGTTACTGTAGTAACTGTAGTCTTTGAGACAGTGCTAAGGTGATGTTAGTTTAATACTTCACACAGACATCGTCTTTGCATGCACTAACTCCCTTTTTACAGCACCGTTAATCTAAAATCACACACACACATATTCGGTCTAACCCTTATCACACACACGTGGAGAGGGATTCAAACCCTTGCGCTTCTGCTATCTCTCTGTTTCTCACCAGCACGTGTTTCATACCCTGGAACATCTGGTCAGAGGCCATAAACCTTTTATGACCCCCATGCACACACGCACGCACACATACACACACACATTTGAATATTAAAATTAGCTATGTGTTGATAGTTCGACACGAAAATGTAACCAATGAAATTACTTATTTTGACACACATTTTTAGACAATAAGTATTAAACTAACAAGGTAATGTGTCAAAAGGCGGACCTTTTTTGTTATTTTCTCAAAAGGAGGACAAATGAGTGTCCGGCTTAAGGCTGCGCCTGTATCTTGTGAGCACGAGAAACGTTTAAAGGCACACTATGCAAGATTTTTACCTTAATATAATAGCTTCAAAGTCATTTCAATGGTAAACAAACTCGTAGTATAGCGAATCATCCCGATAGCAACGCAGGAGAGGGACGCCGTTGGCAGAACCAGCAATGCAAGTCTGAAAGGTGGCGTCCCGCCAAATCTTGCGAAAATCACAAATTGCTTTACAACGTCACCTACATCGGCGACATAAGAAGCAGCCTCACTGGAAGACACTAGCAGGCATTCACTCAGACATTACCTGGTCAGTAGACATCTTCGGAGTCTATCTTTACCTGTTCGATGTCGGACGCTTCCATCCTACTGAACATGTACCGGTATACAGGGGGGAGGGGATCAGGCCGTGAGTGCAGAGACACAGAGCCATATATAGAGACGGCTCTGGTGAGTGGTATTTACGACAGTTAACGTTAAATACAAGTACTCCGCAGCGACTCAAGGGATAGCTGTTTGACAAAACCGGAAAACTGCATAGTAAGCCTTTAATTTTTTTTTTTTTCCCCATGTCCCTTTAGGGGCTCCATAGATTTCTGAATTAATAGTTTAGTGTAATTTTTATGAGACTGATCAATCGATTATTGGTTATCGTTCCCTTATTTAAGGGTGGTGCCCCGAGGATCTTTAATATTAATTAAAGTAATTTTCTCTCTGATAATTATAATTTTTGATAACCATTAATTGATTAAACCAATACAGTTAGACCACTCTAACACCCTACGTCGTAGAGTCCGACAGATAACAAGAACAAGAGGTTACAATTGGTTATTTAGTAGAATTCGGGAACTCTCCTTTAAAATACATAATAATGGGTAAAATGATAAATATCTGTAGGTATTTGATACTCAGTTACCTTCTGCTCAGTGTTAAAAGACTGATTGTAGGATGGGCCAACTGTATTAGGGTCAGATGTAATGCTCAGACCTTGGTTGGCCTGAACCCGCACAGTGAGGAGCTGGTGCTCAGACTGCTGCTCCTGCAGGACTGACTCCAGCTGCTCCTCCTTCGCCTGCAGAGACACCACCTGAGACAAACACACATTACAGTAAGGCTGCAACTCATTTTCATTACTGAGTAATCTGCTGATTATTTCGATCAGTCAATTAATCATTTGGCCCTACAGTACAGTAACATGATTACACTAATGTATCATTTTTCTGTATCTCTACTAGTGGCATACATTCTCCTCTACAAAAACACATAAAACAGAAGTAAAAATAATAATGTGTATCAGACCACGACCAGCTTTTATAATGCAGATTTCATTTTTAAATATATATAATTATATGTAATATATTGCCCCTCATTAAATTGTCACACTATGCTTAGCTATGCTATACACACACAGGTGTCATTTGCACAATGTCCTTATCCATTGGTTCAGAAAACAAGAAGGCAATGTGATCAACAGTACAAACAGTACTGTAACTGTCAACACCTTCCACACTGAACAGATGCTGTTGTCAATAAACACAAGTGTCTAAACCAGAATGAATGCTCTGTAAACACTATCAGTCCATTGCTTTGTTATTATGGACAAAAGGCTAATTATTGCCACAAGCTACAGGAAAAATGTATGTGTACGACTATGGAATCAGTAAAAACGCTAGAATTAGATTCTGTACAAACGGGCAACAACAATTAATTATGCAATTTTTCAGGCTTAATTGTAATGTCCCTAAAAATGTGCAGATCTAACACACAATCCTTTAAATTTGATCTCCACTTTTAATATGAGCCCACAGTCTGAAATAGGGTTGAGTGAAATATCTCCCTCTCTCCTTTGCCTGCACAAATGACTTACCAACTTAAAGCATCAGTGAGAGTTGAGTGTCTGGTACCTTCAAGTACTAGCTTGTTCTGTTATTGAAACCCTTTACTGCAAAGACTAACGAAAATATAAATTCTTGGATGTCTTGTTATCTCACCATGATAAAATACCTGGTTCCAGCAGGTATCTTACCATCTGCTGGAGAGAGCTTTTCTCAGCATCCAGGGCACGTACCCTGCTCCTCAAGGCCCTGATCTCAAGATCCAGACGATCGTTCAGCTCTTTGGCCTTTCGCAGTTCCACCATTTCTTTTGAAATAAGGTCAGATAATGCACTCATGAGATTATAAATGAAACATGTTACCATACATTCTGGTGTGTAAAATGCTGGTCGAGTATTTGAACATAAAGCATACTTAAAATATAAAATTGAGAATTTAAGTTTTTTTTTTACATTATTTAACAAAAGTGTAAATATTGTTGTGAGGATCAGATCTAAGGCAGTTGGATGGCTCAGTTAGTGGCACTGTAGCTTCCCTGTAGCAAGGTGGACTTTTCTTGGTGCAGGTGCATTATCACCATGTGTATTTTGCGTTTTCTCCCTGCAGACTATATTACATGGAAACTTCAGATAGTATAGCAGACTGGTGTCTGCCTCTCAACCAGTGCATGCTGGAATAACCTCAGGCCCCTGGACAGCATAAGCAGGTATGCAAAACAGCTGAATCTGAGCTGTGTAGGGATTGTAACACAGATTTGTTCTAATCCTTTTACACTCAATAAGATATGGCAGATCTTTGAAAAGGATTTAAAGAAGAACTTAAAGAAAAATCTTTCTCACCATATTTCTTCAGTTTTTCTACTTCCTTTCTGAGTTGCTCTACCTCCTGCTGGGCTGCTTGCAGCTCAGGCTCTATAAAAACAAATATAAACACCAGTGATTTCACAGTAATCTTCAAAGTTGCCAGTGGAGTTTCCAAGTTGCTGGAGACAAGCTAAAATAACTTCTTCTCAACACTAGAAATATACAATATTTATGATGCATTCTGCTGAAAGTTTGTGATGTTTTCTCTAGCAGTGGTGGCCACCTTGATTGAATGATAAACTAGAAGAAGTACCGAGATGGTTGTGGTGAAGGGTGCACTAATATCGCCATGAGAAATCTTTGAGAATGACTCTGCTTGTAAGTAGCAGATTCATATCACTCACCATCAGTGCCGCAGGGCTCCAGACTAACTTTTTACATTGGTTGCACTGGTGCACCAGCACAAAATGTAGGTGCACCCAAATTTTTCATTGCGTCGCCTTTAACGCCATAAAGTCACCTTTTTATTGTTCTACATAACTTTCATATAATGTGAATGATTTTTAAACAACAATAAGGTGTAGAGAAATGTTTGTTTTTATTTGAAGCACAATTATATATAAAAAGAAAAAAGTGCTTCACTGAGCTGAAATTGAAACTAAATTTCAAACTAAAACACTGAGCAAAATGAAACATTTCCAAATAAAAGTTCGATACGAAACGTTGTTGACCCGCTCACGAATGCACTATTTCCGGCCACATTCTGACCGCACTCCTGACAGTACACGCAGTGCATTGCGTTGCGTCCTTTGTTGTACCTCAGCCAGGGACATTGTTTCAGCCAGTCCTGTCTGAAGGAATACATTTTGACCTTTTTAATTTGGGTCTCGCAGCCGGGCTCTATCCCAGACTCCGTTGTCTCCTCCTCTGCTTCCGAGTCTGATGCTGTAGGAAACAAACACAACTTATCGCGGTGAACAGGACCACACCGAGCTCTGTCTCTTATTGGTTAAGAACACGATATGATCCTACCATGAGTGTGTGAGTTCGGTCACAGGAGAACACAGAGAGATGATGCGCTTGCGAAATAAATGTACGTTTTCACCCGGGCAGCGTCAGGTGCACCAGTGCGACCTAGAAAAATTATCAGTCGCACTCTTAAAAATTTTGGTCGCCCTCTGGAGCCCTAGATGGACGGCGCCACAATGGGGGAAGAAAAAAAACAAACAAAAGGTGCTACTTTCAATATTTTTATACTAAAACAAGTTGGTGCTATTGTTTCTTAGTATGAAAAAAATAAGCCCACATTAATTTAACTGCATAGCAAAGCCCATTAAATAATAATAAGACTTTATTAAGCCCCCCCCCCTCCTCCTCTACCTGCTCTCTGAGAGATGGTTGAGTTTTCTGACGTCACCCCAGAAACCATTAACAATGTCAAAATGACCAAAACTTTCCGGTACCCGGGGAAGGAAAAAAAGAAAAGAAGAGGAGGAAAAACGCGACAAAGACAGAGGTAGAGTAAAGATAATGTGATGAAATGATTTGTCTGCTGCAGAACGATAGTAACCTTTAGCCTAACACGGTTTGCTAATCAATAAATAGCGTTAGTGAACCTCAGTTCATGTTATGGAAAAAAGTAATACTCCCACCTTCTATTTCTCAGGGACATTTGTAAAGAGTAGATCTATTCAGCAGGTGTTTACATTTGTCTACATTTTTATTTATTTATTTATTATTGGTTAGCTAACGTTTGCTCTGCTTGTAACAGTCACACACCTTTATATATTAGAGTTGTAAGCCTTGTTGTTTGTTGTGTTACAGTTCAGTATTAAAGTGTGTTTAAAGTGTTAAACTTTACATCCATGTTAAAGTGCACATCATGTTATTGTTATTTTATACTGCAGTTTACTGCTTCTTTGCAATCTGCTAATCAGCATTTCACTGTAATGACAATAAGATTAAATCTAATCTAATTTGCATATCAGAAGAAATTGCACTTTATATCAGTCATGTACAGTACAGTGAAAGTTATGCATCTCTTAGGTTTTTCATTTTTATTATTTAATTTTATTCTTGGAATCATTTCTTTTATTATTATACTGTAACACTCAACTCTTCCTGTTACAGTGGCTGCTGCTGAAAGAAGCTTCTCCAAGCTCAAACTCATTAAACCTTACCTGACATCTACTATGATGCAAGAACTCAGTGGACTTTAACATCATAAGCATCAATCATGTGGTCTCAAATCAGTTGTCATATGATGATGTAATAGATGACTTTGCTGCAAGAAAGACTAGGAGAGTACAACTGTAGCAGGTGATGTGAGGATGACTAGGTGGTGGTGTAGTTTAATTTATTTTATCACTTGTTTACAGTTTTTATTTTGTAGGTAGTTAAATGTTATACTTTGCGTGGGCTATTTATATTTCTTGTATTATTTATTTCTAATTTATTATTTTCTTGTTAACTGTTTTGATTGAGCAACTTGTTTCTCTAAAAATAAAATAAAATGTCAAAGACAAAGCTATTCAGTTTCTTGTGTGAGTATATGTATGTATATAACTAGCAGTGGAATTTATTGCGACGCAAGGGGGGCGTCACCTAAAATCTTGCCTAGGGCGCCAAATTGGTTAGGGCGGGCCTGCTCACCATAAGCTCTTTGAGTCAAATGAGCAGACTCCAGCTCATCAGTCAAACGCCTGATCTCATTGTGGGCCATGGCCAGCCGGCGGGAGCCCTCCTCCAGGTCCCGCTCCAGACGAGAACATTTCCTCTCCACACTGCTTACCTGGCCGGCTAAATGCCTGGCCTCAGCCTAAAGAGAGAGAGAGGGTAGGAGCCACTGATGAAATGGCCATGATTAAAGTGATTGCCATACTACGAAGAGAACCAGTGAATAGAAACAAGAATGCTCATAAATACATGCAAGAACAGACAAGAGACCTTGAAAAGTACACTGGAGCAAGTGGTGCAGTATCTTGAATTCCTTCAGCCATGCAAAGTTACCTAGCTTGTGCTGGTAACAGAACTTAATAACACTGGAACAGAAAAAAGAGTTTTCAGTTCACGTGGATGCTGCTGAACAGGAGTTCTGAATGGAAAAACATGCAAATATATCCTTACATTCAAATGTGCACCTTGGGTTACACAAAAGAAAGTCAGTGTGGCTTTCTCTCCAACTGACCTGAGTGCAGTTTAGTGGTTGTTAGTATGGGATGCAGTACCATTACTGTAGATAAAAGGACATACAGGAATTAAAGTATGTTTGCTCTGTGAAGCTTTGTGGAGTCCGAAGAGTCTCTTCCACGGACTCTGGCCATGATGTGGTGCCCCCTTGTGGCAAGACTGTGGAATAACATTAGATCACAAGTTGTTTGACCACAGAGAAATGTATGAGGCATGCAACAACTGAAAAAACAAAACAAACGTTTTTTAAAATGTGTCCATATGAATCTGACTTAATAAAGTTATGATTATAAATAAAATATCACACATGAGGCATCATAGGCTTCAAAAGAGAAAACTTAAAGGGGAAGAATTGTGTGGGAAAGAAGTTATTTTGTGGGAAAAATTGGTGAAGGAGGGAGAACGTACTTTGGTAAATCTTCACAAGGACTCGAGTTCAGTCTTTTCATGTGATGAGATGTGTGCTCTGTATAATTTGCATAAAGTGCAAGTATGTTTGAGGATATGTAATATGCAAATCAAACACACACAAGTGTGTGGCGTTGAGGTCCACAAGGGAACCAATGCGATTGAGGATGTTTTTTTTTGGGGGGGGGCCACAACATCAAGCATACAGCTTCTGTATGTTATAAATTGCTGTGCTGAGTAAACAAGCTTATTAGTGACAGTTTAAGAGTTGTATGGCAAAAGGACTTGCATTGGGAAATAGACATATGGTCACATTATGTATCAAATTACAGGAGGAATATTACAGACGCTAGGGGAAGAGGTATCCTATTTAATCTTTTTAACAGAGTTTATTATACACCCATCAAATGCCACTGGATGGGGCTGAGGCAGGATAAGACATGCTGGAGGTCTAGAGGGGCACAATGTTCCCGTCTCCACAGTGGCAAAACTGGCCAGATGTTGTTCCTCTAACCTGGTGTGCATTGGTGTTCAGCCCTTGGGCTTCGGTCCCCAGCAGGGCTGTGTTTCCATCACCCGTCAGCTGGTCAGGAGCCTCACTTGTCTCAAGTAAGGAAGCTCTTTCGACCAGGAGGTAGGCCACCTGCTCACTGGGGCTGCTGTGAATCAACTCTGTGAGACCCTGCTGGTACAGCATTTTAGCCACCTCACTGATCTGGGCATCTACCAAAACAGAGAATGGTGAAAAAGTAAGATTTATAATGCTTTCAAATCTGTGTCTGGGCTCCCATGAAGGCAGTCAAATTAAGTTAGCTTTACCTATAGAAGTACCACTACCCCTAGATAGGCACAAATGCATTGCATTGTATTTTTCAGTTTTACAAGAGAAAAGACTTCAAGGATTAAGTTAGTTTGGTTTGTTTGGCAAATGTACATCTGGTTATAACCACCCCAACTTCTTTAACGAGCGGCACACTTCCAGTATATTCTCAAAATCTGTACTATTCATCAATTGGAAAATACCATACAGCAATTTAAAAGACTTTGTCATATAAAGATCCACAAGTTTGAATTTTGTCACTACTGCTTTTGGATTATTTCTTATTTGTCAGTGGTGTAGAGGTAAAAAAAAATTCAAACCTTGAAGGGATATTATGCGTCGCAGCTGGTCTTTGAGCTGATCATTTTCATCTTGTATCTCCTGAGCCAGAACATCTTTGTGCTCTGTAAAGATTCGGATCTGCTCCAAGGACTTGCGTACCTTACAGACAATTTCTTAGTCACTAATAAACACAAACCTTAATTTATTCTTCTTGACAATTTCTGATGTCCTCGGTTGGTAATTTGGCTAATTTGATAACTTACCTCTTCCATCTCCGCTAAGTGTTGGGACCGCTGGGTGTCCAGGTCCCATGTTACACTGCTCAGACGGCTTCTTGAGCGCTGGAGGTCTCGCCATAGCAAACACAGCTGAGCCTCCTTAGGGGAGTCCGGAGCAAGTCCCTCCTCATTAAACCATACGGTGATCTGCTTCAGCTCCTCCTAGAGACAATATGGGTGACATGTGAACATCATGGTCTCTGACTACTGCAGCTTCAGATAACTTACTGTAAGATAAACTGATTACCATTACAATATATAAACCTGGTTATAGGATAAGGTGGATATGTTATGATATGATGATCATAAACCATGCGTTTTTTGTTCTGGAAATGATAATGTTCATGTGTTACAGTCCATCTGCAACAACAACTGCAAGATACTTATCGAAATATTCTGTATCAATGAATCCAACTCTAGTGTGACATAACTTCTCTTGGCTGTGGCTAAAGTTTTTTGGAGGAGCAGCTGTTTCTTCCCATAGAGACATAGAGACAGCTGGGATTGCCAATATGTGTGTGTTGAACTGTTTCTTCCACACTATAACATTACTTGTGTGTGTTAAACCTCTTAAACTTCAGTCATTGTAATTAACATGTTCCACAGACACACTTGCTGAAACTCACAGAACTTTATATTATTTATTATTATATATTATTATAGAGAAGATCCCAAATTTTCCAAATGATTCAAACTATATTAGGATTAATTATTTTTAAATGAATGACACACAAGGAAACATTTCCATTTGATGGTATGGTGCAGCAATAAAACAACAACAACAACAACAACAACAAGCTGATGATGCCGTTGTGTGATACAATGTAGACTAAACTTATGTTTTCACCCTTTAAGTTACATAAGGGGTTAAAGTTAAATTAATCCCATCACCAGCTCTGCACTTCATCAAATGTCACATCTGGTGCATAAGACTCAGAGTTGAGCTAACGTTTAGGTTTCTTAGCAAACTAACGTTAGTTGTTATTTAAACCGAAGGATGAAGAAGTAACCGGAATGTGTTCGGTACCTGTAGTTGGTCCATTTTGTCCTGCGGTGTGAAACAACGTCCGTCTGTAGTTTACGCTCATATTTTAACCATCATTTTTGTAGTTTGTTATTTTTTTTGTTTCACGCGAAAAAGTCCGAAACCGTTGTGGTGTCCTCGTTGTTCATCTTCAGGATTTTACAAACTGAAACTTTCCCGTTAAAAGCGGCGACAGAGGGTCAGAAACACCGTGTGGGTTGAGAAGACGAGAGGATATCACTGTCTGTGGCTTTAATGGGTGGCGGTGCGAAGTTCTGTTTGTTCTTGTAAAGGCTCACGGCACTTGCGCACTGTGATCGTGGGCTTTCCTTGGGTCCTTGAAGGAGTCTTGAGGGACCGTTAACTGTGTGTATAGTTTAAAGTCACAGGTAAACGTCAGTAAAAACGATACTTTGTTTAAAAACAGATTTAATCTTCGGCTTTTTGTTTAATCTGAGTAAAATGATGAGATACCTCTTTTACTGGCAGTGTTGGAAACTAATTGCTTGTTTTTAAGTCCTATTCTAAGTACCTACTTTACGAGATTATTTAAGTTTCTATTTTACCTTTAGCCTACTCCACTAACATTACAATTGAGGGATAAATGTTTTCCCTTTTAGTGCTCTGCATTTATTTGACAGTTAAATTAAGATTGAACATACTACATTCATGATGAGTTTATAACATACGATGCATTGTCGTTATAGATTAAACTACCCAGCACATATACATTTGTAAATATTAGCATCACCTCAATCAACAGTAAAAAGAAAAAAAAAGAAAAAACTGCATTCACATTTGCAATTAATAATAAAACAGTATTTACCTTATAGTGAAAAAAAAAATTCCGCCTCAGCTTTTACTTTTGATACTTAGGGTACATTTAGTCAATAATACGTACATAGATTCACTTGAGTAACATTTTTAACTGTGGACATTTAGTAACAATACGTATTTTACAGTGTGTTGTTGCTATTTTTACTCAAGTAAAGAAACTAAATACTTTCCTAACCAACAATTATTGGTTATTTAATGAAATATTACTCATAAGTTGGTATTGGCATCCATTATTGCTGCAACTGCCAGTAACTTGCTTATAAAGTGTGTGCATTACAAATAAACTCTGTAAAGAATCTGTAAGTGCAATCATTAAAATGAACAAACAGCATTAAAATATATCCAGCTGGGAGATTTTAATTACATGAGCTGTATCTTTTCTACATAAACTCCTTTAATGTTGATGACTTGTGACATGTTTTTTTGACAGTCTTTCACATGTAGTCCTTCTGAAGATTATATTTAGTATTAAACACTGTGTTGTGTCTTGGGTGGTCTGAGACTTCCTGCACATTTACAATGAAAAGTGGGCGGCAATCAGCCTGTATTTCCTGCCTTTTAATCACCTCATTCTGGAAATACTGTGGTGGTCTTCATGCGAAGCTGTACAGCTGAATGAACAGCATGAGTACATGTGCAGCAATGGCAAAAAAGTGTGGCTTTAATAATACATATTTTGACCATTGCGAGCCCACACATCGAGCAGAGTTATTACAAACATGTCATCTTTCCTTCAGTGGACTCTGAATAACGGATTTTGGCACCTCATCCTGTTTTGTTTCTTAATTTTAATGCAGATTGGATGTCTGCACTAAAGTCTTTTGCGAATATGTTTGGTGTTTAAATGTCGGTCCAGAGGAATGTTATTTTGGTGTTGAGTTGGTCCAGACCACAGTTTTGAGGGGGAGGGCAGGGAAAGTTAAGAGGAAATGGGTGTTCAAAACTCCTCCTATATCTAACTCCACATTCCTCTTCTGTGCCCTTCTCTGAATGTTTTGGAGCTAAAACGTCTGCAAGGACAGAAAGAGCACAGAAGGAGGACAGCAGCAACGACCAAATCAGAGACGCTTACTGAAGGGTGCTAACTCAAAGTCACTGAAGCTGAAGGGTAAGAACTTCCTCAAAACATCTTGGTTGTGTTTGAAATGATAGGCCTGATTTTTCTAGTGTTTTCTGAAACATACAGCATAGTATAATGTCATTTTGCTTAAAACCGATGGAGGTCACACCCACATGCGAGTCCTTAATGATACTGTTCACATTCACGAAGATGCTTTTCCACCGTGATGTGCTTTCAGTTTCTGTGGTCATTACTTTTGTTCTGTCTGTGCTAGGTACCTCAAACTGTTACATAAACCAGACGTAGTAGCATGTAATCAAACACATGCCTCTCTGAACTGTCCACAATCTAATAGCAAAAGTGATTTCCCTCTATGGGCAGCGCTGGGTGGGAAAGACAAACATGTGAAAGGTCCTAAAAGTCTAAGAGTAATGTACAGTTTCAGGTTAGGAAATATAAAAGTCTGGCAGCAGAAACAACAACATACACTCAAGTTTTGATTAGAAAAATTTAATTAATTAATGAATTAGTACATTATGCCCTTTCTAATTTATCTACCTGTAATGTAGTAGGATGTGTTTTAGGAGAAGTCCTTGTTTATTTAGCACTGCAAGTGGGCAACAATACAAATTCTGTGTTTACTTACTTAAACATCTGTATCTGGGGGAACTGACACCCAAAATGAATAAGTATTGCTTCATAATGAGACTTCCCTTTCTCTGCTTGTGTCCTCACAAATATATCTGATGGAAAAAGTCACACTGATTTAAATAAAACCAATGAGTCACTTATTTTCCATTTGACTTAAAAGGTGTTTCACAATGGATGTGGGTCATTGGGGAAAGTGTTTGAAGAGATTAATAAAGAGGAATAAGTTTAGAGCTTTTTCTTATTACCTGAAGTTTAATGACGGATCATTTATGCTGTAGGCATAAAGTTTGTACCCAGATTCATAAAAAGTACACAACAGTAGGTCAGACTGTTGGTCGGTAGGGTTTCAGACCACAAGTTTGTTTACAGCGGTTACAGGGAGCCAATGTTCTGATGTATTCCTCAGAGACCGTACAGGCTGTGAAGACTGAGAGAAATCACCTCTGTCTGGGACTCTTGTGGCCTGATAAATGGGCAGAGATTGTCAGTGCAGATGTTGAGATGCATGATGAAAGTGCTCAGAGTTTCCTCGAGAGGCAGACAGAGTCCACTGTTTCAGGCCATTGCCTCCTGAAATTTCCTGGCCATTTTAAATGACATGGAGGAAAGGGACAGGGGTTAGCAGCGGTTAATTGTGTTTCTTTGACTACAGAGCTTTTGGAAACCACCAATCATAATACAAATGGATAAAACTAACATAATAATTCCTACACAGGATATACCAGCAGCCATGGTCTTCCTGCTCATAACCCTAACAGTGCTGCATCTGGTCACCTTGGCCATGCTCCTGATTGCCACCCTGGAAAAGGTGAGACACATTGTGAGCTCATGTTGTACTGTATGGTGTCTCTTACTGTAGATGTCACTGTTAATCTGTGTAAAATGTGAACAAAACCAAACACAAAAATGTTGCACATCAACATACTAATGTGGTTTTGTGCACTGTGCCATTTTTCTTTCTTTCTTTCTTTCTTTCTTTCTTTCTTTCTTTCTTTCTTTCTTTCTTTCTTTCTTTCTTTCTTTCTTTCTTTCCGCAGTCCTGGTGGGTATGGGCTGATACAGAGATCACAGATCTCTGGTACAACTGCTTCCATGATAATGCCTCTCAGACCTGGATGTGTGCTTCTGCCAATGAAAGTGGTAAAGTGTTTCTCTGCGTGCCTGCCTGCCTACATGTGCATGCTGCTTTGTTTATTTACTGCTCATATTTTGCATTTCTGCATGATTTGTTGTTTCATAACAGCCTGAAGCTTTTTATATTTGCTTGTGAGTCAATGTCTTACATGTTTTCTCTTTGCTCTTCCAGACTGGCTGCAGTCTGTTCAGGCCCTCATGGTTCTGTCTGTGGTCTTCTCCTCCATCTCCTTCCTGGTGTTTCTGGGTCAGCTGATCACCGTCTCTAAAGGAGGTCTCTTCTACTTCACAGGCCTCTGTCAGGCCTTTGCAGGTGTTTAAAGTCTTATTCCATACACCACATAAAATGCAGTTAATTCAAATTTACCCAAATAACAAGTATTGCATGTGTAGCCAAAGCCTGACATACCTTATACCACTGGGTGACATGTCCCCTCATTACATGGCATTACTTCAATCCCACATTCACCATCCTGTTGCTGTAGATACTCACTAGAGTACCAAATTTGCATTGATCCACAGCTGAAAATACAGCCCAACAAATGCACAATTTCTTCCTGTGTAAGTAACATTTGCTAAAATCTACAGTGCACAGCTATTTTAGAAAGTTACACTTCATATCTGGGGCCCACTTTTAAAGATTTACATCTTCAGTAGGAACTACTGAGCTTTATGCTGAATGTCATGGTTTAGGGAAGTCGGGGAATTGAGAAATGGGCTGACGCATTGTTGGTTTTGGTCTTTTTGTGGCATTTGCTGACAATACAAAACATATAGAGCTATGCCAGTCTTGGCACCAAAAAAATTTATGACTGTAATGAGATAAGAGAATTTTAACTAAAACGTCTGTGTTGTGTTGCACTCCTGCAGGTTTCACAGCCTTTGCTGCTTGCCTCATCTTCACCTTCCACAGAAAGGAGATCTTAAATGACTCCAGAGATCTGAGCAAAGGACGCTTTGGCTACTGTTTCATCCTGGCATGGGTGTGTGTCCCTCTCCTCCTGGTCAGTTCAGTCCTGTATGTCCACCTGCGCAAAAAGCAGTGAGGCAAAAAAAATGAAAAACTCACTTCAATCACCTCCCAGTTACCAGCAAGCACACAAGGAAATCAGATGACTGAGAATGAAATACCTCTATGAATACACATTTCTGTTTTCTTTTCTGACTCAAGGTCCACCCCACCGTGCTACATGGTATGCGGGACATTATGTCATCATGGTGGCATCTCTGTCTGTGAGACACATTGTCACTTAAAACATTTATTAGGTAACATCATTAGGTAATGGATTCATAACTTGTTGTGTTTAATTGTGATTACGGTGAGACAATATGGAGCTCAAATGTCTTTCTTTTTGTAGGCTATTTTGTATACATTTGTGTTTACTTATTAAAAAATCAATATGTGATTGTTGTCACTTTGTAAGCAATGTTCCACATTCCTGTATTTAAAGGTCTATATATGTGTAAGGCCTGTTTCGTTTTGTATGAAGTGCGTTATGTGTAACACAGTGCTAGTGCAATCCTCCGTCATATCCTTGTGGTTGCAAAAGGGTGCGCCATCTTTGTCATTTAATCACTCATTGTTTTGTGGCTCTCCTTGTTTACTTACTAAAGTATGCTCATGCTATTTTCTACTGAATAGTAGAAGAACGGGAAGAACGTAGAACAACCCGGCAAGTATCAGTATATTTTCCAAAGAAAAATTCCAAAGAAATGAAAAAGAAACTTCTGTAATTCAACCTGAGACCTTTCGATAGGTGATCAGATACAGCACTGCATTTTACTCTTGTCCACAAACCTACCTGTCAGGCTGGACCAGTCCAAAACGAAAACTGTGAGGTAAGTGGCAGCCTCTAAAGTAAATTATACAAAACAATATTTTTCACCGCACACCTCACACACATTCAGGAAGTCTGTGAACTGAGAGCAGAATGTCAGAGACCTTGATTTATATTAAACACAGCAGCTGTGAAGGTGAGAGAGAGAGAGAGAGAGGAACAGTAGGATGGTGACCTTGTGTCTGAGCAGCTCACCGATCTGTCAGCTGCACAGAATGTCTGGAATCTAAGTAACAAGGAGTGGAAGAGTTAAGACGAGTGAGATGACATGTAAGGGAGGGAACACGCGAAGAGCTACAGGTCCTGAGAGCTTATGACTAATACTGCAGCCTGAGAGATGAGACATGCTACCCGGGAGGTGAGTTTTACGCTGTGTTGATTTTTGTATATTCATATTTTTCTTCGACTTATTTTGATATTCTCCTTACTTTCTTATGTCAACACGAGCTGGTTGACAAGACTGCTGAAGAACGTGAAATGTGCTCAGAACTGAACTTGTGAACCCTGAACAGGTGCGTTATCTCAGGAACTCATCATCAAGATTGTCACAAACGTCGAGATAAGGTGTGTTCTGGGCAGCTATTCTCGACATGGAAATACTGTGACTTTTTGTCAAAGGGATGAATGAAATGATCATTTTAACTAGATTGAAAGGTGACATGAACTGGCTCCGAATAGTCTTGTTGTCACACAGCTGTCATTAGTGGGAACTTTGATCCTCCCAGAGACACGCACCTGGCTGCGATCATGTCAAACTCCCAAGAGCAGAGCCTGGATGAGGATGCAGTGTTCCTGCCGGTGAATGAGTCCTCCCCAGAGTTCCTCCATTGTGAGAAGGAGCGTCAAGCAGTGGAAAGACTCCTAAATGCAGGACCTGAGGCCTTCTACAGCTCCATTGGCACAGAGCACGCCGGCGGCTTCCTGTCTTCTGAAGAGGTCAGCCAGATATCAGGCTGGGCTCAGGACTATCGCTTTAACTCGCTGCAGGTGCAAAGAGAGGTGAATAGAGAGGATGGCAGCTCAGAGATGGAGGACTTCTGTTCCACCTACTTTCCTTCCTACTCAGACACACCAGCCCCGAATCTAGACATTGGCTGGCCTGAAACAAGCCTGTGGGTGCCGAAGGGGAACGTTACAGTACACACCAGTCCTCCTGCTGAGGGGGAGCCTCCTGTCAGAGAGATCATCAGACGGCACTTGCAAAAAGCCAAACAAGTATGCAAATATAATGTGTATTATTGTGATTTTTTTTCATATGGGTGGAGGAAGTGGTACTTTACACGAGGCTTTAGTCAATTGCTTCTTTGCTAATTAAGATTGAACCTGTAACCTATAACCTATAATTCACTGCTTCAATTTAAACTGCAGTCAGACATAGTCTGAAAAAACATTTATTAAAATCTGTACTTTTACTTTACTATATTTTACTGTTAATACTTGTTCAGTTTCATTTTCAGTATGTAAAGTATATCATCACTAGTTGCTGCATCAAAATTTTCATCCTATAATCAGTGAAAATGAGCATGGAAAGGGATAGTTTCAATTTGTGTGAGCCACTTTCTGAGTAATCCTGTCAAATACAGGCTAAGAGACACTTTGTGTACTGTGCAGGTAATTGCCATTGTGACAGACAGATTGACAGATGGTGCAATAATTGGTGATTTACACAATGCTGCCTCCCGGGGTGTCCCTGTTTACATCATCTTGAACCAAAGGTCCATTCAGGAGAGCTTCACGCTCAACAGGCTCAGGCATCCGGTGAGTCACCTCCTACAAATCAGCACACACCTAGCAGCCATCCTCCTGTGTATATGATTTTATTTTGCCAAAATCAAGCACCGCCAATCTAACAGATCAAACCATGATGTAAAAGGTCACATCTGAAAACCCTGACATGCTGCAATTTACTCTGGAGAGGAATCTCATAGAAAGTGTATCTTTTTACTTTGGCATGCTTATGTTAGGAATGTGACATGTAGGCCTCTTAGCAACAGATAGCTCAACTGGTTGCACAACATTCATTGATGGTGAAAAACCTGCCTGATGTTGAGAACAAAAGGAAAAGATCCTATTGATGTAATGCATGAATAGTCTGTCTTACTGGTAGTTATAATGGTTTACCATGGCTAAATGTGCACAATGTTTAGCCATGCTACTGTACAGATGGCAATGTTTGTTAGATAGACTGCAATGAAATTTGGTACAGATACCTATGGTGCCCAGAGGACAAACCCTAATGACTTTGGTAATCTCTAACTTTTCATTTAGTGCCACCAGCAGGTCAAAGTTTTCACTAAAAATATTTCAACATCTCTAAGATGGATTGGCATAAAATTTGGTAGAGACATTCATGGTTCCTGGACGATGTATCCTAATTACTTCAGACTACTGTGATTGTCTGACTTTTAGCACCACCACATGGTTGACATTTTAGTGTATTGACTATTAGATTGATTACCAGTAAATTCGTTAAAGTCATGATCTCCACAGGATGAATGTTAATAACTCTGGTGCACCATACTACCAAACTAAGATAGTGAACATAGTTAAAATTATACCTGCTAATCATAAGCATGTTAGCATTGTCACTGTGAGCATATTAGCATGTTGACATTAGTATTTAGACGCCATGCCTACGTAGCCTACAGCCTCACAGAGCCACTAGCATGCCTAAAGACTGTTGTTTAAATACAAATTTTGTTCATGATACAAGTTGCGTAGCGTGTGTTTGATCATTGACATGGATAAACGCCCAGTTGTAGTGTAATTCAATCTTGAGTTTCAATTTAAGCTTGTGATCTGGCAGAATATGCGGGTCCGTGTTCTTGGAGGGAAAACCTTTTGTTCGAGGACGGGAAGAATGGTGGTTGGGGAAATGAAAGACAAGTTCCTTCTGGTGGATTTAGACACAGTGATTCACGGCAGCTACAGGTGAGCAGTTATGTCAACCTTTTTTTTGTGTGTATAACACACACTTGAGAGTGATGTAAGAAGCTGTCTTTGTACCCTGCAGCCTCACATGGACAGACGCCCACCTGCACCGGCAGCTGATCACGGTTCTGAGCGGCCCAGTTGTTGACTCATTTGACAGGGAGTTCAGGATCCTTTTTGCTGCTTCACTCCCCGTTCCAGACACTTGGAGGGTTGCAGGTATTCGTGTTGACGATGCTCATCAGCTGAAAGACCTCTCAAATCTCAGGTTTCAAAAACCTCTCCCATTGGAGCCTGAAATTACCAGCCCTCCATCCCCACCTGCTGATTCCCTCCTGGACTGGGAGGCCATGGGGGTTATCCAGAGAGAACGCTGCTTCCCAGACAGTCCTCTTAATCAACCTGAGGAAATTGTGGCCAAGGAAATGCCATTGCAGAAAAACATGCTGTTTGATAAAAGCACACCCATTAAGGACGGTTTTCCTAACAATGGAAACCAATTTTGGTATAAGAGAAGGTACATGGATCATCTTGACTTAACCAGTCTTAGTTAGTCTATGAAGTTGTCTTTGGCTCAAACATAGGCTGCAGTATGTACAAATATTATAAATCATCTTTGCGGTTTACAAACCTTGCTGTACACTGTAGAGGACATTTTTGTTATTTATAATTGAGCTTTTATTGAAACGTATACACCAAAACATTTCTTATTATTCCTTGAGTATTTACACATATGGAGGACTGTATAGTTTAAATACTTTTCTGTGTGTATGTGTTTTGCGGTACTTATCTCTTTTTGTATGTGACAGGTTAAGTGATAACATCTCCCCTGTGACAAACAATGTGCCGGATAAATCAACAACTTTCAAGTGAGTCTTGTTACAGCTAATTTTTACATGTGTTTTTTTTGGGTGGGTATTTTCTTTCCTTATATTTTGATTCTTTTAATAGCAACACACAGCCCTCGTCAACAGACCTGGCAGGTCCAGAAAATATCAAAGGGTAACAACCAAAAGATATTGGAAGCACTTTATTAACACATAAATTATTATTAAACATAACATATCTAAATGAATGTCCTTTCCTGCCTGCAGGGTGGAACGCATGATACAGAAAAATCTTTCCAGGCAACTCTCCATAGAGAAGAGCACCAACTTAGATGACAGAAGAAGAGTTGATGATAAAGCTACAGAGCCAGCAAACAATATGCCCATATTTTCTTCTACTAAGAGGAGAGAGCACTCAAAGAGGGAGCCCATTTTGGAAGAGGAAAACAGCAAAAAAACAAGCTCAAAAATGGAGAACACACCATCTTCTAGAGTAAGTAACTGGCCTTTGCTCTCGCTCAAAACACTTGCGTTAACCTTGATACAGAAAACTTTGATGCATTTTTCTCCTGACAGAAACCTTTAATCCTGAGGGTGCCGCAGTCTGAGAGCTTCAGCTCTCTGAGTGACATTATGAAGAAAATTCACCCTCAGCCGAGCTCTTCTGGGCTGCTCAAGAGAGGATCAAAAGCTGCTGTGTCCGAAATGAGCCAGTCGATGATGGACCTGAGCGTACACACAGATACAAATGATGAGAGAGCAGTGCCAAGGTTTAAAGCCGGTGTAAGTGTGTGTAGATTTGTCGTATTTCTCTGTGTGTATGCTTGTGAAGAAGGAGTGATGGGGGAGAGATACTTCATTACAAAAAGAGTTTACAGAGATTTTACCATTTTGTTTACTGAAGAAAGAGAAGAACTGTATTTTATACTGAAGATAAAGTAATGTACCATAATAATAAAATCACACAAACAGACATAATTACTCACTTACCTATCAAGCCATGCAGACTGTTTTGGTTTTTATTTGTTAGATTTGGAGATTCACCTCTGCCTCCACTCCAAAACAATGGAGGTGAATAGAATTGTGGTGCTTGCTGATAAAATACATTTTATGAATCAAAAGCAAATCAAAATCTCTATTCTGAGACTTTGTATCCTAGATAATCTAAAAAAAAAAAAAGCACTGTACAGGTTTGATTGGGACTATTGCTTTGTTGGAAAATAGTATAATAATAGGAGCTTAATTTGAGCAATACTGACTTTCTAAATGTAATGTTTCAGTGTTGTGAGCGCTACAAACAATTTCAATTCACCTCTGTTGTCTGGGGGTGGAAGCAATAATAATAATACTGGAACTATCACCATGGCTAGATGCTATTATATGTAAGTGAGAATGTTTTTGGTAATTTGGGTGAAGTAAGTAAAGACACATCTTGACAAGTAAAAAGTAAGGGTTTGTGGAGGCCATGACACACTGTTCTACAGATCCCTTTTATAACATTGAAGTATTGATATACTAACCCATGAGGAGTAACAGTGATGAGGAGCAGTTTACCTCAAAATTAGACTCAAGCACAGTTTGATTTTAACGTTCTTTGTCACTGTAAATCTCTGTTTCCTTGGCAGGGCTTTGATCCGGGTCATATGACACCTGCTTTTGCCCTGATGAAGAAGAGGAACGATGACGTGAAACATCTATTGTACAGAACTCCAAAAAACTTTATGCCCAGAGAGAGGCCCCGCAGCTCCAGTTATGCCCTCAAAATGGACTGGAGGAGGTCACTGGCAGAGAAAGAAGGAGAACAGGAATGAGGAGCGAGGAAATCAGAAATATTAGCATTGAGCACAATGTTCAGTAATAACGTCTTCTGTCACTGACGAATGGCAGCTTCTAGCAGTGAGTGGTTATGACCTCTGTAGTGTTTGTTAGGATGTATATAAACTAGTTCTGTCTGTTCATTTAATGTCCCACTGAATTTTATGATTATATGTTTCACTGTATACTCCATACATTGTGTTTGATGCAATGCTTTACTTCTGAATATGTTTAAATAAATTGTTCTGTTAATGTTGAATGGTATTACTGTTGTTGGAATTGTTATTGCGTAATGACACCAAGTAGTTACTTAACCAAAAGAAGAAATTATTATTGGAAGGATTGATTGATTGATTTTAATTTACAATATTTATTTATTTTATTAAACTTTCAGCAAGTGGCAATGCATGCACATTTGTGTTTGACACTAGCACATGAAAGAGTTAAAGGAAATGGTGAAATGGATAAGTTATTGATAGATTATGAAGGAAAGAGACAACAGGCCTGTAGCTAACACAAAGGTAATCAATACATTTTTCCCCCTGAAATTTGGGGGACTTGAAGTAAAGTTTACACTGAAACGTTCTTTAAAGACAGATACCAATCCTTTTTAGACTCCCAGCCTTTACATCCACACTTTGTGGGCCAAGAAAAATCAACACTGAAGTAACAGAACTGAAGAAGTTAGTTCCTGGCGTACTGGAGAAATTCTTCTTAATGAGAAAAACTGGGACACATGAGAGAAAACTATAATCCAGAAACCTAATTAGTTCAGCATTGAAAAATATCCAAATTACTGTATTTTCTTTTTTTTTAAGGTTTTTATTGTGTCTTCAAAATTTCTGCAGTTTTTTTTTAAATTGTTAGGTACAGATATAAGTACAATAGTAAATAGTATTAAACAATTGGAGTGATATAGGAGAAGGGCTTTATTTTGAAGGAAACGGGTATAATATCCAGAAGCATATGAACAATCTTCACCTTCCCAAACATCTCTCAGGCAGAGGTCAGTTTTCAGTCAGATACAGGGGTCCTAATTCATGAAACACTATTACTGTTTAGTTAAAAATCAATCCTGAAGTAGACTTTAATGTCTCTGTTAAAATCTTTTCAACCGTATGAATTTCTTTAATGATAATCAAATCCATTTTCATTTATTTGATTTTACCCTATAAATAAAATCATTTAAAACTCACTCAGTATGCTCCTCCAGCAGGTGGCGGTAGGCGCCTTTCACGTCACTGTGTAAGACCGCCATTAAACACAAAGAAGAAGAAATCCCGGACGCACATGGTGATCAGTGGAGAAATGTGTTGAACTCGACAGGATAACTTTATTTTAATCTCCACACACAAACACTGGCGTTGAACAGTTTTGTTGCTAACGTGTAGCAAACTCGTTGAGTTCACTGCCACCATGGTTCGAGAAAAAAGGTGAGTTTGGCTAAAGTCTAATGTGATTGTTTTGTCTCTCTTCTCGTCACTGAGTCGTGTTATTGGAACATTTAAATTAGCCCAGACGCCTTTTACATTTCCCACCATGACCTACAAGAAATTAAAATAAACGCCAACATAAACCTCCTCTGAATGCTGCAGAGAAGAGACTGATCTCTTGTCTCCTCTCTTTACTGCTCAGGGGTAAACCGGTTCGACGGCCAAAAAAGACTGAGCGATTTGATGAAGACGACCCTGAAGCCTACAAGAATATGCCTGTCCCCGATAAGGTAAGAGGAAGATCTGTCACTGCTGCTACAGCGGGGTTGTCTGAGAGTTGTATCACTACGTTTCGGACAGTATAAGAATACCTGTACATCAGGTGCACCTTCTTTTTCATCAGTGCTTCAGTATCAGTAATGTGGCAATGTTTTCCCTGTGTGTTCTGGTTTACAGTATTAAATCTGAACTACAGGTGGCTGGTATGATGTGTAAGGCCAGACATATACTTGCTTTTAACTGTGCATTTACATGATGACTGCCTCGCATATCCCCAGTGGTCTGTTTGGACTGTAACTTTCTTATAACAACAACAATCTGAGAGTCTAGTCTTCATACTGTGTTATTGATAGGAGAACAAGCTGCTCTCAGCCATCAGTGCTGACAGTCACATTTAAACATGTCTCCTCTTTTTCTTTTTAGAAATCATCGCAGTACACAAAGGACAAAATCGATCAGTTTCACGATGATAAGATTGCAGTAAGTTGACCTCATTAGTAGTTCTGTGGTACATGTGTATATGTATACGTGTGGCGCTGTCTTTATGTTCTCTTAACTGTTTTTGTTGTGCTCTCTTTGCTACAGAAACTTCTCGCCAGCGGTGTTCAAATGGAGAGCGACCTGGAGGAGCTGGACGATGAGGTGATGACTTATGTGTTAGTTTTGATTTACCTTCAGAAAATGAATGTAGCTTTAGAACAAATTTAAGCTGTTCTGAATTTCACAGGAGGAAGTGATGGCGCTGGACGATTCGGAGTCTGAGGATGAGGAAGAGGGGACAGACATGGAGAGTGATCTAGAGGGGAAAAAAGAAGAAGGTAAATGTAAAATCATCAGTTTATATCCAGGTTTGTTTGCTGTCATACAAGCACATTCAACTGTAAGTTTGCTGTCTTCCTCAGATCTTCCTAATGAAATGGCGTGGGGCACCAAGAAGAAGATGTTCTATGACACGGACTATGTGTCCACCAGTAAGCATCTTTTAACTCCAGACATTTTTGTTGAGGCAATCAGTGATCATTTGGCTGATGTTTGCTCATGCAACATTTAATTGTTTTATTACAGAAGGGAAAACGCAAGAAGAGTTGGAAGCTGAGGAACAGGAGGAAGAAGAAGAGGCTAAAAATATCCAAAAACGTTTAGCTGCAAATCTGAGCGAGGAGGATTATGATTTAAACTTTTTTAAGGTTTTTTTTTTTTTTAAATTGCAAATCTGTCCTGTATACCTCCTGTTAATTCCACCTGTAATGATTTAAACATATGTTTTTTTTTTTGGTTTACTTTGGTTGTTTTATGTCGTTGTCTGAATGAAGGAATTTGCTGTGGAGGAGAAGGATGAAAACAAAACTGTAGAAAAGGAGGAGAGGATTGTGAAAGACCTGAAGCAGATGTCCAAGAAGGAAAAAATGAAACTTCTGAAGAAGGATTCACCAGAGCTGCTTGAACTTATTCAGGACTTCAAGGCAAAGGTAAGACGACCTCAGAATTAATAAGCCAAACAATATTTACTTAGTTACTACAGACCAGCATGTAATTAATGTGAATTAATTTTGTTACCACTTGATCTGTGCAGCTCACTGAACTCAAGGATGAGCTGCAGCCTCTTGTACAGATGGTCAAGGACGGAAAGATCCCACCAGGAAAGGTGAGTTCATTCAGCTTAATTTCTAGCTGTGAATTTGTCACCACACTTTGAATTAAAGTGACTATAGTCCATATTGTTTCAGTGTATCAAATCAAAATGTAAAAAAAAAAGTAGCTTGTTGTAATCAACATATAGAAAAATATCACCTGAATCTGAAGCTGCCCTATTAATGTTTTTTTTAATCTGTGTAGTTGTATTTTAAATGTGATGTTTGGAGCTGTGTTGTAAGCATGTAGTGTGAATGTGTGTTGGAGAGTTCCAAGAAACATTAATAATGTCATGTAGATATGGTAATCAAGTTTCTGAATCTGAATAATTTCCATCCTGTCTTCCAAAGGGTGCTGACTACCTCAAGACAAAACAGCAACTGTATCTGAAGTAAGTTGTAATTAAATAGTAATTACACATTACAAAAAAAACATGTAACAGTCCTTTGTTGAGTGAGTAATGATTGTTTCCTGCCACAGTTACTGCACAAACATCAGTTTCTATATGGTGCTGAAAGCAAAACGTATCCCGGCTCATAACCATCCTGTTATTGAAAGACTCCTCACATACAGAAATGTAAGTCCACACATTGACATTAACACCTGCTGCCAGTGGGGCATACAGTATAGTTACACACACATCTACATTAGTTACAACCCTCTCTCGTACTGACTCTTCTGCCTGCAGCTCATCAATGAATTAGGCTCGGTAGATGCTCGGCTTGCGCCACAGTTCCGCAAACTACTGAGTGGTGAGGAGAAAGATAATGCCACCAGCAGACCAGCAGAGGGCAAGAAGACCAGAGTCTCCAGTAAGAAGGAAAAGGTGGGATTTAAAAAAATATTTTTTAAGGATTCACAGACCTTAAGGGTTTCCTCAATTTGAATCTGTTACTGATGTTGAATGTGATGTAATGCATTTTTTAAGCAGGATTCTGGAGAAACTATGCCTGAGGTTGAGGAGGACTCGGACTCTGACCTGAACGAGGAAGCAGCTTTGCGTTTCTACAGAGACGTGGAGGAGCGGTTGAAACTGAAGAGGAAAGGCAACACACCAGAAGCTGAGGAGTAAGTATGATTTGAGTCGTCAAATGACAGTTGGGACAAAATCAACTTGGGCATCTGATAAATTGTCAATTTGTTGAAGGTTGGAAGACAATGAGGATGAGGAGGAAGAGCCTGATCCAGATGCCAAGAGAGGAATCACTTACCAGGTACTGAGTTACTTTGTGGACTTTCTTTGTTTAAAGAAAAGTCTCAAACATATAATTATCTATAGTTTTTTTGGTCACATGAGGGCGCCATTTGCTCTGGTACTCCTAGGTATGTTTGACCCACTGTGTCTATTTAGTACAAAAATATGGATTACAGTGGATGTCCAGTTGTTTCAACTCTGCAACTTCAAACAAATTTGCTAATGTCTGTACATCAGAGCAAGCTTACAACAACTAACTGTTGCTCATGTCATTTATTATTGGCTGCAGTCTTCTACCCCTTTTGGATTTTAGGTTTAAGCGAATATTCAAGATACATCTTCTTTTTTTTCCTATATATACATTTCAGTATTCTCATGCATTTCATGTTACTTTGTCACTTCTGAGCAGTTGTTCTAAGTATGTGCTTCTACCAATTCCACAGATGGCCAAGAACAAGGGGCTCACACCAAAAAGGAAGAAAATTGACCGTAATCCCAGAGTCAAGAACAGAGAGAAGTTCAGACGGGCCAAAATCCGCAGAAAGGGCCAGGTTTGTATTCCACACATTGATGAGAACATCTTTATCACACTGTTGAAGTGCGTCATAAAGCTTCCAGGGTTTGTCTGCGGGCTTATCAGTTTGAATAAAGAGTGTATGTCCATATGTTGCATTCCCAAGATCAATATTGAGACTGTTTGTTTTTACATTCGCTAGGTCCGTGATGTTCGTCGTGAGGATAAGAGATACAGCGGAGAGATGTCTGGTATTCGTGCTGGTGTCAAGAAGAGCGTCAAACTTAAGTAACCAAGAGAGAATCCAAAATATGCCGCTGCCAAGTGTAAGCATGAGAAAACACCAATGGACTGTACTTGTAAATGTTTATTATAGGTGACTCTTGTAGTAATGCATTTCACAGAATTATTCAACCTTTAATCATTGTCGTAGAAAAGACATCAAAATGTTTTTCTGTGCAAGATAATGGCGCACTGTGAATAAACATTTTCTAAACTTTCAATAACTTGTATATTGTCCCTGTACAGAGACAGCCTTTATAAGCTTAGAGACCCGTTTTTAGAGCACATTAAAAAGGACAAGGGAAAGCATGATGTGTTTATAGTTACAGTTATTTCTAAGGTTATGCAACCATACAACATACTGAAGTATGAAAAGCCAAGCTCAGGATCAGGATTAGGTTCAGGAAAGAGCACAGACAACAACGTACAGCTGCGTCATTGACTCAAACATGCAGTGTAGTCGATTGCCGTCAGCCCCCTTGTTGAGTTATGAACTTGTTGTGTGCCGATGTCAGGTTGCTCACTATCCTGTCCTCTATCTCCACTTCATTTTTCTCATCCTCCTCTGTGAGGATCAGCTCAGCCTGAGTCTCAGGGGTCACCACCACCACATAACCCCGTCTAGTGTCCAGTACATTGGCCACTACCGCCTGGTGCCTGTAGGTGTCCAGAGCCCGTCGAGCCTTGTCCAGCAGGATGGCTACGTCTGTCTCTAGCTTAAAAGATATGACAAATGCTTGAGGTGCCCAGTCCTTCACCAGTGGGGACAGTATCTTGGGGACCATGTTCATGCTGAGCTGAAAGGGGAAAAAAATATATAGTATATTCTCATTAATAACAAGAGTTTACAGTCATGCAAGCAGCTCTCTCTGTTTCAGGTCTTTTCCTGCAGGTCTTTGTATGTTAATGTTGCTAGATAAAAAGTTAGGGATCACCAAAGTCCTGGCTTTATTATTTGTTACACTCACTTGAAGAGGTCCATTAGAAGACTGGATTTTGTGTTCAGGCATCTCGGATGCTGGGATGTAGAAATCAGACACTGCTGCAGCCAGATAAAACATGGCCTTGGATCCTACGTGCAGAATAAAAACATTTGAGGACAAGTTATGAACAATCTCCCTGATAAGAGCACAACTTCAACCTGCGACTTGTTAATTTGTACCTATTGTGTTGAGTGCCTGTGCTGCTGCTTTGAGTAGATGCAGATACTCTGACAGAGTGCTGAACTCAATGGGGAGAATAAGTCTGCTTTCTTTCACTTCCTGGTATCGCTTCAGCACTTTGCCAATTTTTGGAAGCACCTGCTGGTTAACAACCACTTCACCAGAGTTACTGGATGCACCTTCTCCAGATGTGAACTTCAGGGCATCCAGCATGTTAATGGTTGAGAACATGCGTGTATATGGGTAAAGCGAGCGGTGCCTGTGTAGGAAGATGACAGCGTAGCCTGACTCTATGAAATACTCAGCTGAGGAGGCTCCTCGTCTGCCGCTGCTGAAGTTGTCGAGGAAGCGAACAGTGCGAGACTCTAAGGGAACTTTGGTGCCTCCTGATGTGATGAGAACCACACGGCGACCTTCTGCTGCATGATGCTCAGCAAAGGCAGCCATCTTCTCTTTAACCTCCTCGACGTGGGAGGGAGCGGCGAATTCTTCAGCTAGCTGCCCATCAATGGAAGACATTCTGGGTTCAGCCATCACCTGATGAGAGAGTGGTATCAGAATATCAGACCTATGTTAAAAGGGGAACTCCACAGTTTTTGTATATCAACATGAGTTCAGCCTGTTAAACCAGTAGTTTGTATTTTGTGGTTCTGAAGGGAATTTCCTTAAGTTTGAGTAAATAACCTTTGATGATTATAATATGTACAGTAGAAATGAGCAAAATAAAACGTGCTGTTGAATCCTTAATGCAAAGTAAACATTAGAGGACGGTTCATGAGCAGTAAGCTCAGCTTGGAAATACAGGGAAAGACGTGTCTAATAGAAAACTGGGGTTGCATCATGGGAAGGGTAGGATTTTTAGGGACTAAAAAAATGTTAAAAATGTAATATTTTGGCCTCTACAGCATCAAATGGAAGAGGAATAGTAATTACTAGAGTCCTAACAGGCCCATATTGAAGAGAAGCATATATGTTGGCCTCTAAGTAAAAAGAAAATTAGATATAATTTAACTGTTTGAATCATTGTTGTTGGGTTCCATATAGATAGTGGCATATAGTTAGCTATGTATAATTGTACTGCATTATACTGAGAGGTATTATAATAGTACTAATAATAATTATATAACTGGAGAATACTGACTTCTAAACGGCTTACGCCAGGCTGAACTGTTGGCTCTAAAAGTTAAAAAAAAAATCTAAATAATGTGGAATATTTGAAGGTGTGTCAAAGAGATGTCGCTATATTGAACTGCTGGCTTTAATTTTAGTATTGTATTTTATTATTACTATGAATGGAGATTTGAAAAAAATTGACTATCTCATAAGGTTTAATATTGTTTACAACTGAACATAAGTGTAGAACTGAGTTGAATGGAGATGTAGTCAAGAAAATCTGTCTGTCTGTCTCTTTGCCCGTCTGTCTGTCAAACTGGGCTGTGTGTTGCCATGGTGATGCTGCCGCTGCCTGCTCTGCCTTTCTCCTGGCCTAGAGGCTTCATTGGATAGAGAATTTAGCTGAAGCGCACCTCTGATATTTACGCTTCTACGGCCCAGACCGTAACTCCTATCACCGAAATGAGGATATCATCGGCGAGAGGAGAGCCTGCTGACAACATGTGGTGAAATTTGTGTGTTTACGGTCAGAAATGTGACCACACTAGCTGTCGGAAGAAGTGGCTGCTTATGCTCCACTCCTTAAATGTCTTCTCTTATTTATAATGGAAGTAAATGAGGCAGTTGGTTGTTGCTCCTGTCGCTTGGAAGCTCATAAAGACAACATCGTAAGTCTGTTTGTTTCCACATGTCACATGTCTGTAACCGGCACAAGTTTTCCTATGTTTTGATGTACAATCATGTACGTGGAGTGAAAACTGTGGCTCTAAGAGCAAGTTTAAAACAAACATTTTAGACAATTTCAAATCGTTTGTCCACTCTAGTGATGATGTCACGCACTCTAGCTCTGAACATTCCACGCAATACACACTAATGGAAAAGTGTCAGAAGGGCTGAAATTTTCATGAATTTTGAACTGAGATTGTGTGAAAAGTTTGAAAGATATAAAAAAGCTGAATTAATGTCAGAAAGTCCTAGTTGTCGTGGACGATTTAAAGTTTGAATGGAGTTTCTATGTGAATGTATGAATTTGTGGGAAGAGGTTAAAGATGAGTGGGTTTGAAGGGTTTTCTCATTGACTTCCATTGTATTTGGGTTTTTTTTTAAAGTTGAATACTTTGAAATGTTTTAATGGGATTTTAAAAGTGAAATAATAGCTAAAATGGCTGAAAAATGTGGAATATTGGAGAGTTTTGATGGAGTTTCAAGCTGAAAGTATGAACAAATATTTACAAAATTATGAAAGTTATCAAAAAACCGAATAGAAGCTGAATGTTTCACTAAATCACTGTATGTTACTGGACTTTAGAGGATGCTTGCAGTCATGTTATACGAATATATATATTCCTCACAGTGTGCGTGAACCTTACAGGTTAACCTCGACCTTTAAACGTCTGAAAGATGTGGACTATTTCAGTGTTTGAATGGAGCTTCTAGCTGAAAGCATAAATGAGTAGTTAACCGCTGAAAAACCATGAAAAACTAGGAATTCTCCATAAGGAATGAATAGGGAAAAATCGACGGGAAAACGGGGAATATTTCGGAAAATATGAAAGGTATGAATGAGAAAAGTATTAGCAATAATGTCCTAATTGAGTTGAACGTTTTGACGTTTGAATGAAGTCTGTGAAAGTAGTGAAGAGAACACACATGTATATTACATTCACAACACACACACACACACACATATATATATATATAACTACAACCTCCAAAATGTGCATAAAGTTGACAGTCTGAGCAATAACTGAGCATTATGAACATCACTGTATGTAACTTGCAGTAATGTTATATAAATATATATTCCTCACAGTATGCATGAACCTTACAGGTTAACCTTGACCTTAACATTATTATACGCAATATAATCTCTTTGCTGGCCACTGCTTTACTACAGGAAACCCAGTCCAGTAGATCATTTTATGAAGGACAAAATAAGGTGGACTTTGTTTTTTTAATAATCACGCAAATGTGCAGAAATATGACAGGTTGGGAAGATAAAACACACCATGTGACGTTGCCTGCCACCGCGACGACACCCGGGAGCAAAACAAACACAACGTTTCTTTCTATCATATCAACTTAAAAGACAAAACTGCAAAATGATCCTACTTTAGATTCCGAGGTGGTTCTCAGTCAGCTTTCACAACAATTTCTGCACTTCCTGAAACCAGCGAGCTGCATTCTTTGGTCTTTATAAATACACAAGAAACCCGTCAGCGCCCCCAGTGGCCGCGGACGGCACTGCCGCCTGTATCTCACAAGTGCGTCAATTACTTTCTCACTTTCATATGAGGTGTCAGACTTTATGAACGAAAGCATCACCGGTGGCGCACACGGGCCCCCCAGGAGACCAGAGGGGGGATTTCTTTAAAGAGGGGATCTTTTTGGAGCGGACTGTCCCACTGAGTCAGCAAATGCCAGGGCAGAGAGTGTTTGGTGCTCATTAGAGCTTCTTAAGATCTTAAAGCTCATCTGATTCTTGCTTTTGTGAATTTTTTTTAAAATAAGTTGGAATGGCATAAATTAAAAGCTCCTTTTCTCAAAAAAAGAAATGCTGTCTGGATCTGGATGCTACATTTGACATGTAATTTCTGGTGAGTGTTACTATTTACTTTCTGAAGGGATTAAATTAAATGTATTAGAATCTCTCCAGATACAAAGATTCATATTATTGCAGGTACAAAAATAAAATGTGTTACGGGACTGAATAACTTTGAAACAGTCTATGATGTAGGACAGTGCAGTTTATTTTAGTGTTTTCTATTTTACCAAAACACCACACAAAGTGAGATTCAACTAATTGAGAATATTATTTATTATTATAAATCCTACAGTCATACAATTAAAGGCCTCACTTGGTCGACAAATTTCAATTTGCATTCACTTGGAAATTTGATCTACTTTTTATTATTTATCATGGGTAACAAACAACATACACAAACCAATTACCAACAATTAACACAGAAATAATAAAATAATAAAAGAGGGTTTCTAGATATTTACTTGAAATGACCTGTACACACTGCAGCATTTACACCTGCTGAGACTGTAAGGAAGAACAAAATTCTCTCTTAAGGCAAGTGGAAAAAACAAATGTTGTTTTGCTGAATGTAACCTTTTGGAGATAACCTAAAGGGTTGTGTGGACCTGTGTAGAGGCTTACGGGAAATTCTGTGGTTTAAATAACTTTCCGACTGATTCTTTTTTCAACCTTTTGCACCCTACAGCGCCTCAGATAATCAGTTATGATGTCTGTATAGAAACTCTTAGGGTCAGTCATTTTTTCTGTTAATGTTTTTATTTACATTCCTGTACATTTAGGCCTACAGACATTAATTTATTTTCAGGATTTATTAGCAGCAGTGCCTGTGGTCAACCCACAAGAGGCGCTGTTGCCCTGCTGAATAGATCACAACACTTCAGCCTGGCTGCTTTCTTTGATACATGTTTGATTGATGGTGTTGATTAAGATTAACCTGATTACTTCCTCACGTTTAGTTGATGACTTGTTGTTGTTATAAAAACAAAATGGCCACTATTGTACAGACCCAACACCAGTTAAACAGATAAATTAAGAGTTGATTCAGGTTGTAATAAACCTGGAGTCCTGTGTGTCAGTTGCACCTTAGTCAGGCTGTTTGTTAGTGGTAATGGAAAAGAAGCATAAAATCTAGAGATGGACAAAACAATACAAAAGAGCTACAATCAGATTATATCATATTTAAAAATAAATATATAGATAATAGGCTTAAATCTAAATGGAATAATTAGTCTATAATTAACTTGTCAAATGATAAGAACACAGCAAAGAGCTGGCTGTCTTTTTACATGGGACATTTTAAGGACTATTGTTTTCCATTAGAGACGCTGATGCTGACATTTTTCTGACTGGCTGTATTGAAGGTCTACACTGAAGCTTGAACCATAAAGACCTCAACAACAACATGATTCAACACTTTGTCATAGCAACTCATAAAACAATTAATTGAGATAAGTGAACCATTCCTTTTTATTTCTATATTATGTATCATAGTACTAATACAAACATGATATAACTCAATTATACCACAAACACACAGCTACATTACAGGAGGTAAGAAGAGAAAATTAAGACAAGGTCACTGTGAACTCACCAGACCACTGAGTACCAGGGCTGCAGATAGCATTGTCATGTCCCTGGTTAAAAAATAAATTCTGGGAATTTTATTGGTTTGTTAAATAACCTTAAGTTCAGTTTACACAGTGTAGAGTTATACATGGTGTAATGTTAGAGGGGAAAATAAACTTTTTTTTTTTTAAACCTCACAAGATTAAATCAGACTATTTTTAGGCCAAGAAAAACTAATGAATGAATGAGTTCAGCATTTTACCTCTAGAAGTTAGAAACAGCATAAAGACCACAGTGTAGGGGACTCTGGGACATATAGGCATATACTACTGCATTGAAAGTGAATTAATTATTAATAACGTTTAGAGACTGGAGACTTTTTCTGTCCTTTATTTCAACAGTGGTCAGCAACTAAAAATTGTGCAATAACCTCTTATGTAGCCTATGTATTCTGTCTCTAGTGGCGTCAAAAGCAGCAGCACTTTATAATGCCTATAAAGACAGCTGATACAGAACATAACATTAAAATTGGGGACCCAGTGTTACTTGTATGCCTATGTGCTATATCTACACCCTTTTCTACAAATTAATTTTATTACTCTAGAACATATATTCCCAAAAAGATGCATATTCTAATCATGGACGAATCTTTGATATGTTTTCATCAGCTTCTGTGTTATTTATTTTCATGTCCTTAAGATAAGGCACCCTTTTATAAATTCTTTGTAAGTTGTAACTAATTGCTTAATAGCATAAATAATTATATAATGCTTGGTTAGTTAGCTCCCATTAATAAATAAAACTTTTGCCAGGTTGTAAAATTAAAAACTGTCTGGTCGGTGTTTATCCAGCAGCAGAAATATCTTTAGATCTGAATCATGAAAACCTTCTAAGGGATTCTTCCATTTCTGGACAGACCGGCATCAAATCTGGATCCAAATCAATTTATTAACAACATATTAACATATAACTGCAGACCTATTACAAAGTGTGAACCACACAAGCATATATTTATACACACACACACACAGTCAATGGGATTTTTCCACAACCTGGCAACCCAAAGCTTCTTTATTATTATTATTATTATTATTATTATTATTATTATTATTATTTTAAAGCATTAGTACATATTTTATTACACTTTAATAAATAAACTTATAAAAGATGACTTATCAGACACGTGGACTATCTTGCTTTCTTCTGCTTTTTATTCTATGATCCGGACTTTATGTCTTATTACTCATGTCTTCTCACCTCCTGTGTTTTAGTCTTACGCCAATAAGAACATTTTAGTGTTTTCATCCGCTCGCAATGCTCTCCAAATAAAGCTGATTTCCTGATCAATTGATTGACGAGGCTAAGGTCATACGTTAGGTGTGTACCCGCTGCTGTTTCCACTGCGGGCTTGTGTATTTGACCGCGCGCTAGTTTCTGTGGCGGCAGGGGTGGTGAGAGAGACAGACAGAAAAAAAGAAAAGAAAAAAAAAACCTTCATGTGCGTGCGTCGTTTGTGAAAGTAGTTCCGGGCACTTAACCCAAACGGGGGAGAGTCCCGGATGTTGTCTCGGCCGCCGAGAGAAAGGCGAACGGGAGAAGGCGGAGAGAAGCTGAGGAGGGACGCCACGGCACCGCGGGCACACCGGCGAAGCCACGACTACGGCCGGCTCTTTGCACAGGACGATACCGCCGAGAGCACGGGACACTCCTGGGGAGCCTCTGCCAGCTGAAGAAGAGGAGGTGGAAAGAAGGGGAGGGGGCAGTTACTCTGAAAACTACCGTCAGGATTACAGAGCGCCACCGTCACAGCAGCTTTCACCCAGAGTAAGTGAGCTACACGGGCATGGAAGTTGAACTAAGGCCCACGAAATGGACGACTTTAACGGGGAAGTGAGCTGCACTGAAGTTCTGGGGATTGAGCCCGGTGAACAGGCCCTGACACACGGCTCCCCGCTCGCTGTGGCTGGGCGTGCGGGGACACCTTTAAAAAAAAAAAAAAAAAAAAAAAAAAAAAAAAATTCTCTTCTTCTGAGAGAAAGCAGTGCGTGTTTCCCCCGCAGTCAGCGTTAGTACGAGCCCGGTTTGTGTTTGCTCTAACTCTCACAAGTTGACAGCTCTTGCGTTAGCCTGCGTTAGCAACCGCCGTGCAACCGGTGACAACTGACAGGGCAACTTTGACAGCTAGCTAGCCAGGTTTTTTGGTAGCCAGCTAACTTTAGCTGAGCGCTGTCGGTGCTTTCTCCGGGGCCAGGACGAGGTGTGTGCGGGGTTTTTTTACCTCGCATTAGGTGGATATAATGACCTATCACAGCCCTCCAAACAGCTATCGTTAGCTAGCTGTTTGGTATGTGAGACGTTGTGTGTCCAGCATGAAGTGTGTGTGTGTGTGTGTGTGTGTGTGTGTGTGTGTGTGTGTGTGTGTGTGTGTGTATGAACCCAGTGTCATTTGGCTTTCCTGCGTGCTCTGATGGTATTTGACTCACAGCTGTTGCAGTGTGTTTTTCTCGTCTGTCAATCGTCTTGTTTCTCAGGCGGCTAATAAATTCCTGTAAGAAAATAATGATCCTATGTATGTAAAAAAAAACCCAACACAGTCGACCTGTAACGAGAGGGTAAGCAGGTTTGTCATGTGGCTGGACAATCAACAAGTGCAAAGCATGTTTCAGGTGTGTTTTCCTTTTTTTTTTTATATGCCACTGAACTTGATCTTGGGGCTGCCTTCTTGCCTCTGGTGGTGGTATTACCCTTGCTGATTGTCCTGAGATGGCACCGGCGGCGTTGCAGTTCAAGTATTTGGTCCTGTGTTGCAAGACATTTCTCGGGGCATGCTCCTCTTGGCTTTGATGTTTTGCACCAGTTGGTGTGTGTGATCGCAAAGGACGGACAGACACTGATTAGTTAATGCTACGAGTTTAAAGTAAACAGCTGTGGCATGTGCGTGCAGCTGTATTCAAAACTGTGCCCTTGCTTTCATCCTGACGGGCCTTTTTTTTTTTTTTATTAGAGGATGGATGGACTGAACTCTTAATTTGCCCCGCTGTCCACTTGTGTAAGTTTTTATCAATGAAGTCACGTAGTCGTTTTTATTGATAGAGGTGCAAATGATTAACTGGTCATCATATACTCACATGCTTAAGTTTATTCTGTCTCAAACCCAGCAAAGAGGTTGAATTTATGACTAAAACAAAACACTATAAATTCCCCTAGAACATCCCAACCCTGCCAGACCTTCTGCTCCAACTAACAAAATGCCCATAGCGTTAGTCAGCACCCACAATCAAAGGTCAGACCTGGTTTGCTTCTTAATCACCCATCCTTTAAATAGCAGGCCTACAGCGAGCTGTCTGGATCGAGGCTATCTGTGCATGCAGCTTTAGAGGACACATGGTGTTTTTGATGTTATGCCGTCCAGGTAAGCAGAGCCAGAGTAGGTGAAACTGTCATATTGTTTAGAAATTCGTATTTGTCCTTCTGAGGATCGTCCTTGCTCTGTTTTTTTCAAGAAACTGTACTAAAGAGGCTGGATGTGCAGTTTATGTTAATTGCGTTTTATGTCAGTGTCCCTAGCTCAATCTAAAACCGAACGACATCTTAACTCCTTTGTGAGAAATACTTTGATCCTTGATGCCGTTTATAGAATTCAGCTTTTAAGAAAGAGTGGGTGTTTTTAATGTGCAATAACTTTATGTCAATTCAAAACTATTTGAAATACGGCATCAGAATAATTTGCATAGACAGCTGAAATGACATTTCGCTGTTAAAAGAATAGACCTAGAGTGCAGTCAATGCATGCTTTTTATAGATTGTGTGCAGACATGAATCACGGCACACACATTGTAAAATTGGTTCCTTAGAGCGCTACTTGTACCATCCATCAAATTCTGTTAGTTTATAAGTGATGTGGTTATTCAGTTTAGTTCAGACTGAATGGCTACAGTTTATGCATGTTTTTTGATGATTTATAGGTGTTTTTAGCAATATGACCTCTTTGTTTGTTTGCTATTTTACCTCAAATCACACCGAGCAGAGGATTTTATTGATCCCTTCTCTAAAACTACCTCAAGGGTTTGATGAATGGACAAGTATAGATAGAAAGTATAGAGAAGATTACAGATCTGTTTATTCACACAGTAACCATTTAGAAGTGTGAATGGGAGGATGTGATGCAGCTTCTCTTTAATGGTGGTTTCAGCCTGTAGCAGACTATTGCCTAATGGTTTAAAGACACGACACCTGCCTCTCCAAGGTCCTCTTGTGATCTGTGTGTGTATGACACCGGTAGCACATTCGTTTATCGAAATGACTTTGTCATCGTCTGTAAGAGACAAGGCACATGAAGTAACTACGTGTAAATAAATATTGACATTTCATCATTGTGTCTCAGATAATGTTCAGCTTCGGGGTGATAGTGTATAATTTAATAGATTAAAGAGAATAATGGCATGATATGGGGCTAATTTGGATAGATGTCAAGGGTCAGTGAGCCAGAATAGTGGAGTGAATTTAGAACAGGTTCCTACTTTTTGAATACAAGCTCCTCATTTGGAATTCAGGATGTGGCCCTGTGCCTAGCCCCGTCTCACTGAGAGGCTTTTTAATTTCTCCCCTTGTTGAAGTGATTATTCAAATGGCCATCCGTGAGATGCAGTTATCAGACTCCTGGTGGTAGTTGAGCCTGTGGCAACATGAATGCCCATCACAGGCCCCCTCCTCACCACCCTGTTTAGTTGGACAGCACCCAACAGGTACCCTCTGTAGCAACCCCTATTAGACGGCCACATCTTACCCCTCAGGCTGAAAACCTATTGTGTTATGCGATTGGCAGATGGCAATTTATTCATGAGGACGGCTGATATAGTTTTTTGGCATGGTGTAGTGGTGATGCTGTTGGTCAAAGGCCCTGTGTTTAGTATTTTTATGATGACTTATATTTGGTCTGAATCCAAAGTGGGCTTGTTTCAATTCCTCTCTGCTCTCAGAGTTAAAGTTATTTTAGGTTGGAGTTTCTTTCTCTTCACTTCATCGCCCATCATCTTGTCCTTCAGTGAGTTTTTCACCTTGGATTGGGCAAGAAAAAACCAGAATCTTCTTTTTTTTTTTTTTAAACAGCTGTTTACTCTGCGTGGAGGCTCGGCTGTCATCTTAATGCATCTCAGGCCAAATGACTGGACGGTTTTGTTAGAAATTTCTCCCCGTACTCTGCTTATATCCAGTGTGAAGTTTTTCTCTCATGGAAGCTGTGGTGGTGAGAAGGGACTGGCTCAGTCTTCATTAGCAACGCCTTGCATCACTAGAATGCAGATGAGCTATGAAGCCATTCATCTGCTGGAAATGCCTCCCTGATTCCAATTTGAATCTTGTTTGCAGTCACATTGTGTGAGCCCACTTCTCCATGTTAAAGAAGTCTCTTTATGTGAGAGATCAGAGGGGGATAATTGCACTTAAGTGAACCTCATTTAGTGCTGGCCAGAGCAATTACTGTAACTGCAGTTCTAGCCGTTTTTTGGGGCCTGGAGCAGCTGTCATTGAGTCTCTGTAGCTGAGATATCAAATGGTGAATAGAATGACATTGGCATGGCATCATGGGAATGGCAGATCCTTGGATGGATTTTAATTAGTTTATGCAGGTTTTTGCATAGCTCCTTTTTTCTTTTTTTCACCCGAAGAAAGGCGTAATTAAAAATGACAATTAGAAATGCATTATTTTAGTAATGATTGAAAATAAATTATTCTCAAGGTGCTGTAAGGTGAAAAAAGCCAGCACTGTTTCTTCAGGCAAAACCCCCTGAGCTTGAGGGAGATGTTTTATCATTAATGTTATTCAGGAGCCAAATTTTGAGTTTTGCTCAGCTGGGTGCTTTAATCTATTTTTGCTGTAAATTAATGAATTTTTAAAGAGCCCCTCGCTGGATATGGGTGGATGTGGGAATGCAGCACTGGTTCAGTTTTCAAACGAGCCTCTACCCCCCCCCATCGCCACCCTCCGCACGGGATGGAGAGAGAGAGAATTTACTGAAGCACTACACTTTCATTTTTTATTCATCCAGCAATACACTGCCTAGTTCTCCTCATCCCACCTCCTCCCAGTCTATTGAGTTGAATCTGTCAGTGAACTAGTCCTATATGCTCCAATTCACGTCCTGGGTTGGAGTTGGATGCGGACATGAATTAGTGAGGGGAGCATGTGATGTTTAATTCAACTAGTTCGTTGCCTAATATTATTGGCACATTTGCTCAGATACATGTTTTATCTGAAAGTGTTTAGCCATTTATTTCCCTAGTCTGACTAAACAGGGCGCCTCTCTCTGCAGGGGAACCACTGTAACTACTCACACTAGAGCTTGCTGGGTAAGTTTAGAAAGTGTAGGAGAGAAGGGTGGGGTGGGGGTCGGTGAGGGATTGGCAGCTCCTGTAGTGCATGGTGGTTTCTGTGACTCATCCCGGCCTTGTGGTAGCAGAAAGACCAATACGTTTTGTGGCAAGTCTATTATGAGTGTTAGGTTTGATCTTATCTTTAAGCCTAGAAACGGGACGCGGTGTTAATATCGGAATCAGAATCAGAAATACTTTATTGATCCCCAGGGGAAAATTTGTTTCGTAACTGTATTGATATCCACAGAGGGGGGAATTTATTTAATATGTGTTAGTGGTTTTAGCGTGTTAAATGTGCAAACAAGATCAGGGCTTACAAATTCCCTCCATTAAAAAGAAAATAATATAGTGCAAATGCCATTTTAACAAAAGTTTGTAGTGTACATTGCTGTGTCATTTGAGATTTCACTTACTCAGATGCCAATGAATAACCAGGTCCTAAATGAATAAGT